AAGATGGGTGACTTTTAATCCGCGGCGCTCAGGCCTCTGTCTTTCATCGTTTTTGTTCAAACATTCCTCTAGGTCATATAGCCATACAGGGGTAACTTGTGGTTGCTCTGAGGCTGAACACTGTGACACTGATGTGTCAAACGCGATAATGGTTGGCTACCCAGTGTAGACAGTGTGAGGTGGAGCTCTCCGATTAAAACAAGCTTGGAAGCAGGAGTGGCATCCACTTCCATGATAGCTTGCCTATGAACCTGGAGAGAGGATGAGAGACACCCAAGCGTCGAGGACTCTCCTTCATAGGGTCGCTATGAGTTGCCAACGACTCAGCGGCACTTAACAACAACAACAACAACAACAACAGCAGCAGTCTTTCTTATTCCTTGTCTACTTTCTCATGTATATGAGGTCAATGGAAAGGCCATGGTTTGGTTCAGGTGCACCTTATGCTTCGAAATTCTATCTTCAGTTTTTATCACATTAAATTAGGCCTTGGCACTACATTTACTTGCTCAGTGCAATCCATTGTTTGATTTCTAGTCTGCAGCTTTCCACAGGGGCTGACTGTGAATACAAGCAACATGAAATCCTTCAGTTGAAGGATTCAATTGAACAACTTCAGTCTTTTCGCACTTTTTCATAATGTTGCTTACTGGCCCAGTTGTAAAGACTTGTTTTCTCGAGAAGTAATCCATAGTAAAGGTCATAGTCTTTCAGAAAGTGCTTCAAGGCTTCATTTTCAGCAAGCTGGGTTGTTTTCTTTCTTTCCTAAAATGACTGTTTGCTTTCTTCCATCTCTGATGTGCTTGATGCCATCATCTCACAACTCCTCTGGACATCAGTGTCCTTCTGGTCATCTAGTCATTAAGGTTCTCTGCTTTAAATCTGTTCATTTGAGATGGTTTCTAAATTCAGCTGGAATATTCTAAAGGTTATATTTGGGCCTTGTTGTTGTGTGCTGTTGAGTCAGAATCGACCTGTAACTAGCTGACCCTCCAGTGGATTTTCTCTGTGTGTGTGTGTGTGTGTGTGTGTGTGTGTGTACCATCAAATCAGATCTGATTGGTACAGGAGGAGATTGCCCCTCCTTCTCCAGCAGAGCATCTGGTTACAGTGGGTTTTCAAAGGCACTAAATTGCCTACCCTTTTCCTGTGAAGCAGCTAGTGGATTTGAACCCCACACCTTTGATAATGGAGCACAGCTTCTTACCACCAGGCCACCAGAGCTCCTTATTTTGGCCTTAGGTATATGCAAATTAAAACCACAGTGAGACCTCACTTTTCACGCATGGTTGTTGATGTTGTTAGGTGCCTAAGAGTCAAATATGACTCATTGTGACCCTCCGAACACTGGAGCTGACCTCTCCCCTGTCCTGTGCCATCTTCATCATCTCTGACACACTAATATTCCTGTAATCAAAGAGCAGACAGTAACAAGTTTGATGAGGATGTGGTGGGGAAATGGGAACACTTATACACTGTTGGCGGAGTGCTATGGAAAAGGGCTTGGCAGTTCTTCACAAGGTTAAACCTAGCATAGCTCTCCTGTTTTAGGTGTCCTCAAGACAGCTCAGCTCCCAGTGACCATGTGGGCGCCTGAAGGCAGCCCTGCCCCAGCCGGCACCGTCTTTACCGTCTCTGCTGTGCCGAGGCCCCTGGCTGTGACCTCTGGCTCCGTCCGGCTTCTTTTTCGCTAACCCTCTGCTTGCCACACACGATGTTTTTCTCTGGGAACTTGCCTCTCCTAATAACACGTCCAATGTTTGTCAAAATGTCACCATTCTTGCGTCTAAGGATCACTCTGTACTTCTTCTAAGACAGATGTGTTTGTTCTTTTGGCAGTCCATGGTCCCTTTAATTTGCTTCACAAACATGACAATTTGACACTCTGGTGGTCTAGTGATTAGTATTGGGCACTCTCACTGCCTCAGCCCTAATCAGGGCCCCTGGTCAGGGAACAGTTACTACATCACCCTGAAACTCCATCTGTCCATTCAAAAACATGTTTGTGTTTATAGAAGCTTATTCATGGGAGGCAGAAAGTGGAAAGAACGCAAATATTCATCATCTGATGAATTGCTCTCTCATTTCCACTGAGTTGAAAGCTCAGAGCTGACTCTCTAAGAGAGTCTTTCCAGCTAAATAGATAAATAAAATATGACCTATCCCAAAAATGGAATATCATTTGGCAACAACAACAAAAGGAATGAAACAAGGATGCATTCTACAACAAGTGTGAACTTTGAAAACATATTAAGAAATCAGTCACAAAAGATCTTATAAAGCTTTTCTCCCACTATATGAAAGATGCAGAATAGACAAATCTAGAGAGAACAGGAAGTAGATTAGTGTATACCTAGGATTGGGGAAGAGTGCGAACATCCCATGGACTGTCCAAAAACCGAATTAATGCTTCTTGGAGGAAGGGCAACCAGGGAGCTCCTTTGAGGCCAGGATAGTGAAACGTCATCTCACATACTTTGGGGACCCAAGAGTGACCAGTCCTTGGGGAAAGACAACTCTCAACGAGATGGACAATGATGGGCTCAGGAGAGGGCAGGGGGCAGATCTGCTGTTCGTGGGTCCTGATGGGTCTTGGTTGATTGGAGTGCACCTACAACCAGGATTGGGGAAGGTGGAAAAAAATGGTGAGCGATAGCTAATGGGTGTAAGTTTCTTTGGGGGGTAATGAAATGTCCTAAAATTGTGGTTGCAGAAATCTGTGATACATTAATACCACTTTATGAAGATAAATTGCATATATGCGGATTATATCTCATTAAAACTGTTGTTGTTTTAAATGGGAAGAAGCAGCAGCAGCATAAAAGCCTAAAAATGTTACCTTCTGACTCACCACTATGGGCTTGATGACAAGTGGGGCACGGAGGCGAAGGCTTTGGGGCTTGGCCACTAAGGGGTCTGAGGATGCAGGGACTCTGAATGTAAAGCCAGGATGAGGGAAGGCGGACCAGGCCAGGAGGTGCAGGGATGTGGAGATGCAGGATGGGAGCAGGAGAGTAGCAAGCGGGGCTGCAGGGATGTGCGACGAGGAGGAAGAGGAAGGACACGTGGGAGCAGGATGCGGGGTCCTGGGAACAGAGCTGGACAAGGAGATGCAGAAACGGGGCGTGGCCGCTAGAGGGCGCAGAGAGGGCCCTGGGCCGCGCTCCCTGTCTCGGTGCTCGCCCCACCCCGCTCCCCCTCGCAGATCTGAGCCTTGTCCTACGCTGCGTCGTCCTCATGACCTCCGACACGCTTGAGCCCACTGTTACAGAGCCAATCCAATCACTGCGGGCCTTCCTCTCTTTCTGACCCTCAGCTTTTTCAACAAGCCATTTTCAAGGCTGAAAGTGTGTGAGACGAACTTTCACCGTTCTTGCCTCTAAGGAGCTCCTTAGCTGCACTTTCTCCGAGACAGACTTGTTTGTTCTTTGGTGACCCAAGGGACATTGGGTTCTCTTCGTCAACACCACAATTCAAAGGCACTGATTGGTCTTCGGTCATCCTTATTCATTACCCAACTCTCAGATGCATACAAAGCAATTGAAAAACTCCTAGCTTGGATCGGATGCACCTTAGTCTTTAGACCCGTGTCCTTGCTCTTTGGCACTTTGCACAGGTCCTTGACAGCAGATTTTCCCAGTGCAGCACATCTTGATTGTTGGCAGCTGCTACCATGTGAATCCAAGTCAAACGAAAACACAGCAAATGGACTGGGACACCGCTTCGCTCTCTTTTCAACAGCTCCTCCCCATTCAATGGGGTGTTAGCTGGTTGGTTCAGCCTCCATGCAGCCCTTGCTGGGGGGGCTCCTCTCCCCCACCTCTGACAGCAGTGAGAAACTCAGCTGATCCCAGGCTTTCCCTCTGGGTGTGGGGCCACAGACACTCAGATCTTGGACTAAATTTGAGGATCTCTTCCCATCTCAGCACTCCAGTCCTTCCGCAGCTCAGGGGAATGTTCTTCGTTGTTCTGTGCATCTTGACCCAAGCCACAGTCTTGCATCAGTCTTGTCTCTAAGGGGCACCCTGGTTTCACTTTCTGCAAAACAGACTTGTTTGTTTTTAGTAATCCAGGGGCTATTCTGTTCTCTTCACCAACAGTTCAAAGGCATTGCTTCTTCTTCTGTCATCCTAATTCATGGCAAATGTGACCATGGATGCCAGCATATCAGAGACAGTGAGAGTGGTGCAGGTTAGGGCAGTTGTTAGTAGGTGACTTGATGGCACCTAACAACAACATTTGTATAATATCTTTGTTGTTGCTGTTTTGTTCTGCATTCTGAGGGTCTGTTTCTGCTCTGGTTTTAAAATTCCCACGGTGGATTTTAGCTTGAAAATCCTATTTTCTGTCACCAAGATTTCTATTTGCAAATTGTCTCCCCTCCCCAGCTACCAGCACTTTGCTCTGTTATCCTAACCTCCTCGCAGACATCTGAGAGCACAGAGGAGTTTTTCTAGGTTTGTTCCCCCACCTCTCCCGTCCACGTTCATTCTTGTTTTCTGTTGTTTTTCTGAGCTGTCTCCTTTCTGGATCGGAAGCCTCTTTAACCCATAGGGCTGCATCTGTCACCCTAGGTTTGCTAGATGGAGACCATAGCGTCGAAAGAGCCCCCATTCCATTCCCTCGCAGTCTGTCCTGCCTAGTGGTAAAAGCCAGCACTGTAAAGGTACGAGGTTCGAATCTACCATGGAAGAAGGATTGACACTCTCCTCCTGGGCGATTCACTGCCTCTGAAAACCCGCTGGAGTCAGCTTCGGGTCAGTTTCGACTCCACAGCACACAACAACAAATGTCTGTCCCGTGGCATCCTGCTTCTCTCCCGCTGAACCTGCTACCATCCCGCTTGCCCGCCTTTACGCTGGATGTGCTCAACGCCCGAACCCGCAGCTTCATCCACGGTGCCTGGAGCCGAGGGAGGCTCCTAGGAGGCCCTCTCGGGGACCCCGTGTCCCTCCTTCCCATGAGGCCAGGCCCCGCCCCTCCTCCTGGGCCGTGCACACCTTGGAGAGGGGCTCTTGGTCGCCCCAGAACGACTTCCCGGGCAGGTGACGGCCCCCGTACAGGTCCCCGGTGCTCAGCGGGTCCCCGGTGCTCAGCGGGTCCAGGGTGCTCAGCAGCTGCATCTGGCGCGCCTCGGAGACGGGCAGCTTGAGACAGCCGTAGGCTCGGGCCACCGTGGCCCAGGGCAGCCTGGACAGCGTCTCGGTGCTGCTGGGGGCCGTCGAGGGCAGCGACGAGCCGAGGAGCTGGGGGCCCAGGGTTTTCGGGGGGCTGGAGGAGTCCGACTGCTCGGAGGCCATCTCGGAGGCGGCCTGGCCGTGAACGGTGGCGTCGCGCGCCCGCGGCCCCGCGCAGACCCTCCAGGTCCAGAGCATCGTCCGCCCCGCCGCCTGGGCCTGGTGATCGCCCGGCCTCCTCGGAGGCTGGGTGGGAAACAGTGTCTCCAAGGAAGGAGAGGAGTTGTTTGGGGGTTTTGGTTGGTTGGTTGTTCAATGACAAATAAGGGGTTTCAAGTCTTAAGTATAAAAAGGAGGCAGAGGTGGGAAACCGGTGGTCCGGTTCTCATGGCCTTCCTTGGGCCCAGGCCTGCCTCTCCCGGGTGACTCTTGTCAGTCCACTACCTGTCCAGGTGCTCACTCCACCTCCAGCAACAGAAACGGGGCCAATAAGTTCTGGAATGACCTTGGCAGTCGGATATGCCTCTTAAAGGCCTCTCACAAAATCCCTAGAACATGAGGGAAACCGTCACCACACTGACGGAAATAACAGAGACCCACAGCCTCACTAGGGTCATGGTCCCTCAGCAGATAAAGAATAAAAGGATTTATTCCTGAGTATTCAAGGTTGTTCTAATGCCACCACCTTGAAGTGATGTGTTTCTGTTTGCTCCTTTGACAATTGTTCTGGTTGGTGCAGTCACTTCCACACAGTTTACTTTGGGAAAGATCTCATCAGTGGAAGTGGGACAGCTTCAGAGCAGGGACTCATGAGACCGACCCATGTCTGCAGAACAAAGACCTGGCACTGCTGTGCTCAGGGTCCGGGCACATGTCATCTCACTCCTGAAGAAGTGTTCATCCCAAATAGTGTCCACCCAGACCAGGTGGCGTGGCAGGGCCTAGTTCCCTGCTCCCTACAGTTTCTGGTCACAGCCATCAAACATGAGAAGAAGCCCCATGTGCAAGTGAAACAGCCCAGGGGGACCACAGCTGCCCCCCACGCCCACAGCCGTCCCTAAGTAAATCCCAGTGTCCACACCCAGACTCAGCTGTCTTCATAAAATGCCTGAGAAAAACCTTCACATTTTATTTCTTTTTCTAAAGTCTCAATAAATGAGTTTTTCTAATTTTCTTTTTGTTTTAAGGGGAGAACACAAATGCAGTCTTCCACTACCGTAAATTATGCAGTTGAGCTTCCCACGTTTCGGAGAGCAGTAGTTAAGCCTCACCTGGAAAACTACCTTGATGATCATGGTGTGTTCCCTGCCAGGTAGGTATGAAGTCTCAAGAAATTAAAAATAAATAAATAAACCCAAGAAGAAATTAGAAAATTAACAATTTAATCAAACTGTCTAAATGTTCCTCTGACACCAACTGAAATTATAAATAGTTCATCTCTGCCACTCCCAAGGCAGCCTCTGAAATGTCATAGTTTTAATAACTAACTGGCAGCATGGATTTACATATGGACATAATCTGCGTACTGTAGTAACTGAACAGCTGAGGATCCCCCATCGTGCAGGGGAGGCCAGGGTGGAATCAAGTCACTGCCTCCTCAGTGGAAGACGCTTCAGCCTGAAGATGAAGAAAAAGGAAGAGGAGAAAAAAGTTAGACACAGGCTGAAGGCCAAGGGAGCCAGGCTTCCCTCCTGACTCTCCAGGCACACTCCCAACCAGAAAGCCCAGGGCAGGGCCACACGGGACACACCATTGGTATTCCTTCTTCAGTGAATAAATGCTTCTTCAGTGATATTCAACATGCAAGCAGACTCACTCACCCACATATAACTCAGCTTGAAACCACCTATAAAGGCTACCTTTAATCCTGGCTTCAAGCATCTTCTTCATCTGTTGTTAGGGCCTTGGAGAAGAAACTAAAATCACGCCCACTCCAGGACTCAGGACTCCTGAGCCATCAGCCTGAAGACTGCCTCACACTCTCGAATGTCCATGGTGGCTCTGCTCCCAACAGCCCCAGTGTGGAAACCCAGACGTCCACAGGAGTGGGGCAGCCGGCCTCCAAGTGGTGTATTCACACCGAGGAGTGTCCTGGCCGTAAGAAGGAACCAGCTACTGCCAACTAAGATGATGCACAAGCACCTCATAAGCCACTGATATACATTTATATCAATTCTCTAACAGACGATCAAAAAAACGAAAGATCAAAAACTGGCAATGACATTGGTGTACACATCTCTTTTGGTGTCTCAGTTCTAATTTCCTTGAGGTATATTCCTAGTAGTGGAATAGCTGGGTCATATGGAGTTTTTATGGTCTTTTTGAGGAAACACCCAACTGCCTTCCAGAGTGGTTGTACTATTTTACAATCCCAGCAACAATGTATGAGAGTTCCCACCTCTCCACATCCTCTCCAACATGCCTGCAGCCCTGCTTAGCTTTGCCACTGCTACTGGAGTGAGGTGGTTTTGACTTGCATGTCTCTTTTTTGTTTTACTTTTCATTGGTTGTTTTTATTTTTTTATTTGCAGCTCTCTTATTGCCAGTGACTTTGAGCATTTCTTCATGTGTCTGTTGACCATCTTAATGTCTTCCTCTGTGAACAGTCTTTCCATGTCTCCTGCCCTTTTTGTAATTGGATTATCAGTCTTTTTCTTCTGGAGGCCCAGTAGTATTCTGTAGTTTTGTTATGAAATCCTTGTCTGAGATGTTATTGCCAAATGTTTTTTCCCCAGTTGGTAGATTTTCTTTTCACTCTGCTGGAAAATATTTTTGATGCACACAATCACAAGAACATGGAAACAACCCAAATGTCCAACCACAACCGAATGGATTGAAAAATTGTGGTACATTCACACAATGGAACACTAAGCAGCACGCAGGAGCAACAATTTCTAAAAACACTATTTGATTTGGAAGAGACTCAAGGGCACTATGCTGAGTGAACTAACTCAGTCTCATAAGGATAAATACTGCATAAGACCATAATTGTAAAAATAGAAGGATAACTAGTAAAGCATGTATGGGGTTGCAAGGGGAAAGGTGTGGGAACAGAGGGGTAAGGCTGGGTAGGGGCAAAATCACAGGGTTATACAATTTGGTAGGTGAAGGAAGGGGGTAAAGGAAATGGGAAAGATCCAGTGGGGACCTAAAAAGATAGGGTAATGGTGGGCCTAGTCCAATGGTGATTAATTTTATAAGAAAACAATGAATAGGAATGCTGGCATGAAACACAGTGTAAATGAAGAATAGTATGAAACGATATATACAAATTTTGTAAGTAAACCAATATAAAATATTTTAAAAATCAATTATTAAAAATAAAATTAAAAAAAATAAAATCAACTGGCAAGAGGAAGCAACAGTGGCAGGAGTCACGGAGTAGTGACCTTCACGGAGAAAGATGGAGAGAGGATGGGAGGGGACTTCTGGGGTGCTGCTCTACTCCCCAACCTTCAAGTTTTTTGCAGGTGAATTGGTGTAGTGAAAATCCATGCAGCTGTAAACTTGGCATTTGAGTACGTTCATGGATGTTTACTATGTTACATGGAAAAGTTTACTTAAAAGAATGATTCCATTTACATGAGAGTCAAAACTTATTTATAGTAAAAAGTAGCAGATCAGCTTCTTACGGAGCAGGAGTGGTGAAGGGACAGACTATAAAAAGGACAAATACTACAGAAGATCACCATTATAAAAAGCTAAGGAAAGGTGTCGACACAGAATCATTCCTGGATGGCTGCCAGGGAAAGAGTAGGGAGTAAAATTAGCAAGCAGATAATAGGATACATAGGTCAAGGTACCCCATCACTAAAGGGAAGACAGAGAGGCACGTAGGCTGCTCAGTGGAAATCAGAATTGCAGCATGGAAGGAGGAGTGTGTGATTACAGTGTGGGTGTTGAAACCGATGTTAATTGACAACATGGTTATGAAATTAATTTTTTTCTAAGCATTCACTCAAATCATTAAAAAATTAATTCTGTAATTTTTAAAGATGTCTTTTGTTATTGTTAGGTGCCATCAAGTTGAATACAACTCATAGCAGCCCTGTGAAAGGGAAAAAAATGCCTTTTATTTACTCATTATACTGGCAGGACTTTATAAAAAGTAATATATGTGATAGGAAGGTGTGTCTTAACTTACATGTACATAGCCAGTATGAAGCTGTGTTGTATTCATTCTAAATGCCCATATACACTACAAATTTATGCTACATAAAATTATTTCATTTGTAAAAAATTTTTACTTGGTATTTTAACAAAAGTTTACAGAGAACTTGGAATTTCCACTCATTCACTGTTGCACATTTTCCTCCCTATCACTTTCAGTTCACTTTTCTCATTAAAAAATTCTTTCACTGTTGTACAATTTCCTCCCCCCGCCCCCCCCTCCCCGCAATCCACTTTGCTATGCACCTCTTATTCTGGACTGTTGCCATGCAAATAATATCTAATCATATAATCATATATTCTTTTTAAACAGTTCTTTCCCTCATCTGTTTTTGGTTGCTTTTTTTTTTTTTTTTTATTTTTCCCAAACCCCCATGTCAGTCTTGTTTTATAACAGTCACATTATACAGTATTTGTCCTTTTGTGACTTTTGAGATATTTCACTAAGCATTATGTCCTCCAGGCTCACCCATTTTGTATAGCATTTTATGAGCTCTGTGTTTTTAAGTGCTGCATTGTATCCCATTGTGTGAATCTACCACAGCTTCTCTAGCCATTTGTTTGTTGATGGGCAGTTGGGTTGTTTCCATCTCTTTGCTATTATGAACAACGCCTCAGTAAACATAGGTGTGCATGTATCTGTGTGGGTGGCAGTTCTGATTTTTTTAGGGTATATTCCCAGTAGCACAACTGCTGGGTCAAATAGATTTCTATCTCCAACACTTTGAGAAAGCACCACACTGCCTGCCATAAGTGGTTACACCATTTTACACTCCCTCCAACAGTGAATAAAGGTTCCAATTTCTCCACAACCTCACCAGCATTTGTTGTTTGCAGCATTATTTTTAACAACTGAGCTCACTGCCTTTGAGTCTGAATCAACTCACAGCTGATCTACTGGGTTTTCAGAGGCTGGAAATTGTAGGGAGGTGAATGCCTGTCGTTCTTTTGCAAGGCAGCTGATGGATTTGATCCATCTGCCTTGGGCTGGCAGTGCAATCCCTTACCACTAGACCACCAGAGCTCCCTTTATATTAAAAATGTATAAAAATGTGTATACACATGTATATAGTTGTTGTTGTTGTTGTTATGTGTCGTCGAGTCGTTCGCGACTCATAGCGACCCTATGTACAACAGCCCTAAACCCTGCTCTATCCTGTGCCAATCGCACTGCCTCTGACACACCCATCCCGATTACCCCAGTCACTGAATCAGTCCATCTCATAGAGGGTCTTCCCCTCTTGCGCCGTCCCTCCACCCTCCCTCCCAAGCATGATGTCCCTCTCCAAGGACCCGTCCCTCCTTGCAACATGCCCAAAGTATGTCAGACGAAGCCCCAGAATCCTTGCCTCCAAGGAGTTGCTTGGTTTAATCCTCTCCAGGATGAATCTGTTTTCTTGGCAGTCCATGGTACATTCAGTACTCTTCTCCAGCACCACAGCTCAAAGGCATCAATTCTCCTTCCGTCCTCCCTAGTCATTGTCCAACTCTCTGATGCATAACAAGTGATTGCAAAGACCATGGCCTGTATCAGGCGCACCTTAGTCTCCAGAGAGACACCGTTGCTCTTGAGTACTTTAGAGAGGTCCCTAACAGCAGACTTTCCCATCACAAGACGTTTTTTGATTTCTTGACTACTGGTGCCAAGAGTGCTGACCATGGAGCCGAGCAAACTGAAGCTGTGAACAATCTCAATTTCTTCGCCATCCATCCTGATGCTACCGATTGGTCCAGTGGTAAGAATCTTTGTCTTCTTGACATTGAGCCTCAGTCCATACTGAAGGCTGCAGTCCTTGACCCTCTGCAGTAAGTGCATGAGGTCCTCCTCAGTTTCAGCAAGCAGGGTTGTGTCATCTGCATAACACAGATTGTTAATAGATCTTCCACCAATCCTGATGCCACAATTCTCCTCATAGAGCCCAGCCTCCAGGATAATCTGCTCTGCATACAGGTTGAAAAGGTATAGAGACAGGACACATCCCTGGCGGACACCCTTCCCAATTTTGAACCATGCAGTGTTACCCTGCTCTGTTCTGACTACTGCCTCTTGGTCCAAGTATAGGTTTCGCATTAGCACGATTAAATGTTCTCGGATTCCCATTCTCCTCAGAGTCATCCACAGTTTGTTCTGATCCACAAAGTCAAACGCCTTTGCATAATCAATGAAATACAGATAGACATTCTTCTGGTATTCCCTGCTTTCAGCTAAGATCCATCTAATATCAGCTACAATATCCCTAGTACCGCGAGCTCTGGTGGCCTAGTGGCAAGAAGCTGCACTGCAATCCCAGAGGTGCATGGTTCGAATCCACCAGAAGCTGTGCTGGAGAAGGAGGGACAATCTCTTCCTGTACCAGTCAGATCTGATTTGACGGTACACACACACACACACACACAAGCACGCACACACATGTGTATACATGAGTATAAATATGTGTGGTTGCAAACACAAAAAAGTTCTTTTACATAAGAAACTTAGAGCATAACACAGGTTGTTGATGAGTCTTGATTCTGATGCTACATTCTTCTCCATAGAACCTGGCTTCACGAATTCCTTGGTCAGCATGCAGACTGAACAAGCATGGAGAAAGGACACAGCCCTGACCAACACCTTCCCTGATTTTCAACCCTGTAGTGTCCCTTATGGAGCTGTGTTATTCTGATGGCACAGCCTTGCTTGCTGAAAGCAGAGAAGTTGAAACACTTGTATGGTGATAATCAAATAAGCTAATATATAAAAAAAAGGGGGGGGGAAGAAACTCTAGTGGTGTAGCCCTTGGAGAGTTGTGCTGCTAATCCAAATATTTCGCCTCTCTAGCAATTCAAACCCAACAGTAGCTCTGCGGAGGAAAGATGGCTCACCCTTCCCATGTGATTTACCACCTCTGAAAACCCAGTAGAGGGTGAGAGATGAGTCAGGTCCATCTCAACAGCAAGGAAAACGAGATGGAGGGGGAGAGAAAGACCATGAGCTAACGAGTCTATAAAGTAGCAACACTCTTTGGTGGGCTGTTTTGTAACATCTTTTCTTGAGTAAAAACACATGTGTCCTCAAGTTGTATAAGCGGTATGGTTAATTGGCTCACAATGTTATAAAATGAAGAGTGATATGACAAAGAAAAATATAGAAAGGCATCCTAAAACATCTTTGGTTTTTAAATCCCCACTCTAATAAGAAAAAATACTCTCTAAAACAACAACAACAACAAAACTTACAGCAAAGGTTACTCAGGAGAAAAGAGAGGGTTAGGGACTAGGTCAAGGGTATTTAATCTGTAAGGTCTGAATTTTCAGTGAGACGAAATTGGCCTAGTATGTGATTAAAAATGAGCCATTTTTTCAAAAGGACTGGTTAAAATACAAGCTTATATTTCTGACCTTTGTCTCTAGACAAATCGTCAAGATCTTCACAAGCCTTTGAAAGGTTTCTGACCAGCCCACAGCCCCTGCTGCCTACCTTCTCAGAAGTTCCTCGGGCGACATGTCCGTGGTCCCTTCCTCATCACTCTGGCTGGAACTGCTGTCAGTACTGTCAGAACTACTGCTTTTCTCTGATTTTTTATTCTTCTGTTTACTTTTGTGTTTATGCTTCTTGTGTTTTTTCTTCTGTTTTTAAAAAGAAAAAGAACAGGTTGGGTTTTTCTCCATCTTTAATTATAGTGGAAAGCTATGCGGCACTCAATTCTGGAGAATTAAAAAACAAAAGCAAAATATATCCACTGGAGTGGGACCGGGGCAAGTGAGACGCACACTCCCCAGGAGGCACACATGGGGAGAGCTGGTCCAGGAAAATGCAGCCATCCTCTGCCTGTGACCGGGTGGTCACAAGCCAGCCTTCCTGTGCAGTGACACTTCTGCTTCAAGCACACGCTCCTCAAAGAAACTCCTGCTACGTCTCAGGACCCAGGGACCCAGCCCTTACACATACAGGAGGGTCAAAGAACACAGTAGCTTAGCAGGGAGGACGTTGTTGCATTTCCCTGCACATCCAATGAATAAAGGACGCAAGCGTGCATCTACCTGTATCAAAACCAAGTCATACCCACTGCCCTCCAGTCAAGGTCAACTCATAGTGATTCCTCATCAGGTTTTTGAGGTTGTGTATCTTTTTTTTAATTGAGATTTTATTGTAGTTTATAAATAACTTGGATTTCCACTAATTCATTGTCGCACATTTTCCTCTCTGCCCCCCTTTCCCCCAGTTCATCTTTTTTCTCTAGAAAAAAAGTTCTTTCATTGTTATACAGGCTCCCCCCACCACTTTACTATGCAGCTCTTATTCTGGACTCTTGTCATACCAGTCATACCTAACCATATATTCCTTTTATACAGTTCTCCCCCTCATCTGTTTCAATGCCATGTAGACTATTTATCCCATCTTTTCTTAGTTTTCCCCAACCCCCATGTCATTCCTGTTTTATAACAGTGGCATTATGCAGTATTTGTCTCTTTGTGACTGAGATATTTCACTCAGCATCATGTCCTCCCTGGTCACCCATTTTGTATAGTATTTCATGAGGGTTTTTTTCAGTGCAGCATAATATTCCATTGTGTGAATGTACCACAGCTTCTCTATCCATTCATTTGTTGATGGGCACTTAGGTTGTTTCCAACTTTTTGCTAAACTGAAGAAAGCAGAAATAAACATGGATGTGCATATGTCTGCTTGGGTGGCAAATCTGGTTTCTTTACGGTGAGGCTGTGTATTTTTATAGAAAGAAACCGGTTATCTTTTCTCCCAAGATGCTGCTGGTAGACTTGAACCACCAACTTTTGGATTAGGAACCCAACACACAAAACTCTATGCCAACATGGCCCCTTGCATCTAGCAGCAGGTCCCCTGAAGTTGGACAGAAAAGCAAAGGTCAGATTTAACAACACTCATCCTCAGCAGACTCTCAGGGTCCGCGATGCTCAACAGGCTCAGCATCCCTAACATCTAAGAGTCAAGGGGCGAGTCAGTCTGGCAAGAAGAGAACTTGAAACCTCCAGACACACAGAACAGAAAAGCACCTGCCATCCATTGGGCATTCCTACACTGCAAACAGTATCCATGGTTTTCCATTATATGCTGTTGAGTCGGAACCAACTCATAGCTGAACCTCCCGTGGGTTTTCAGAAGCAATAAGTCGGACAGGAGGAGATTGCTCATCTTTCTCCCTCGAGCTAGTGGATTAAAACATCCTGCCTTTGGGTTGGTAGCACACTCCTTATCACTAGACCCCCAGAGAAAGCTAAAGAAAGAATAAAGAACAAGAGTGCTTTGTCTCTAAAAGAAGGAAATAGGGAACAATATAAAAATCTACTACTGTTGTTGTTATATGCTACTGCGGCGAATCATAGTAACCCTATGCACAACAGTTCTGAACCCTGCTCTACCTTGAACCAATTTCACTGTCTCTGACACATCTACTCCCATTATCCCAGTCACTGAATCAATCTGTCTCATCCAGGATCTTCCTCTCTTGGGCTGTCCTTTCACCCTTCCAAGCATTATGTCCCTCTCCAAGGATTGCTCCCTCCTGATCACATGCCCAAAGGATGTCAGACAGCTTCAAAATCCTGGCCTCCAAGAAGCACCCTGGTTTCACCCTCTCCAGGATAGATCTATCTGTTCTCTTAGCAGTCCATGGTATATTCAATATTCTTCTCCAGCATCACAATTCAAAGGCATCAATTCTTTTCCCATCATCCTTTGTCAGAGTTCTCTGCTGTGTAGCAAGTCATTGTGAAAACCATGACCTGGATTAGGCGCACCTTAGTCTCCAGACTGACATCATTGCTCTTCAGTTCTCTGGAGAGGTCCCTGACAGCAGACTTTCCCAATGCAATTTGTCTTTTGATTTCCTGGTTGCTGGTACCAACTGTGTTGTTTGTGGAGAAAGCTAAAGCTATTAACAATCTCAATCTCTGTAGCATCTATCATAATACTACCAACTGGCCTAGTGGTGAGAATCTTTGTTTTCTTGATGCTGAGCTTCAATCCATAATGAAGGCTGCAGTCCTTGACCTTCTGCAGCAAATGCCTCAGGTCATCTTCACTTTCGGCAGGCAAGTTTGTGTCATCTCTAAAATTCAGGCTATTGATGAATCCAACTACAATCCTGATGCCCCATTTCTCCTCAGAGATCTCAGCCAGATAGGATGTATCCCTGGTATACACCCTTCTTGATTTTGAACCATGTAATGTTTCCTTGCTCTGTTCTGATGACTGTGTCCTAGTCCAAGTATAGGTTTCCCATTAGCACAATCAAGTGTTCTGAGATTGTCATTCTTCTCAGAGTCAGCCACAGTTTGTTGTGATCCACACAGTCAAATGGTTTTGCATAGTCAATGAAACATAGACACTCCTCTGGTATTCTCTGCTTTCAGCTAAGATCCATCTCTTACAGTAGTATGTAGCCTTTTATAAATGTTTTGTAAGCACTGTAGATGACACACAAAAATGTCCATTAATGCAAAAAAGCAGGATTCCAAACATTCTGTATCATATGCTCCTAAGTAGGCGCTCTGATTGCACCAACTGTTAACCGCGTGCCTGTGGAATGAAGAGCTGGCAATCAGAACCCGTCCAGTGGTGCCACAAGAGGAAGACCCTGGTAGGCCCCTGCCTTACAGATTAAAGCCAAGAAAACCCACAGGGCAGTTCTACTCCTCACAGGAAGCAGACTCAGAAGGGCCTAACTACAACTATGCTCTAAATAAGGTAAAAATGTGCATGACTGCAGAAATGAAAGACTGAAATGAATAACTCTGCCCGTTTTTCACTTGTTAGGTGCTATCGGGTCAGCTATGACTCGGAGCAATCCTGTGAACAACTGACTCCTGCCCTCTCCCGTGCCATCCTCATCATCGCTGATGCACTGAGCACTTTGCTGCAGTTACTGTGGAAGTCCATTTCGCTGGGGTCTTCCTCTCTTTCAGCTCCTCCGCTTATCTCTCCAAGCACGATGGCCATTTCTAAGGACTAGTCCCTCCCTAGCAATATAGTGGCACAGTACCTATAAAATTTAGCTGCCAAGCAAAAGGTTAGTGGTTCAAAACCACAAGCTGCTTCCCAGGAGAAAGAAGAGGAAGTCTGATTCCATAAAGATGGGAAAACCCAGTGGGCAGTCCTGCACCGTCCTACAGGGTTGCCGTGAGTCTGAATAAGATCTATAGCAGCAGATTTGGTCCAAGATTGCCGCCTTCAATATGATTACATCTCAACATCAAGAAAAGAAAAATTCTCACCATTGGCCAACGGGCAACACTGTGACAGATGGAAAAGAGGATGAAGTTGTCAATTATTTCATTTTACTTGGATCTAACACTCTAGGCACCAGCAATCAAGAAATCAAAACACATGTTGCACTGGGAAAGTCTGCTGTCAAGGACCTTTCCAAAGAGCAATGACATCAGTTTAAAGACCAAGGTGTGCCTGATCTAAGCCATGGTCTTTTCAATCACTTGCTTTGCATCTAAAAGTTTGACAATGTTTAAGAATGACAGAAGAATCGATGACTTTTCCTTGTGGTGTTGCTTATGAGGGCTAAATATCCCACTGACTGCCGTGAGACGTACAAATCAATGTTGGAGAAAGTGCAGCCAGGGCACCTCTTAGAGGCAAGAGTGGTGAAACTTTGACTAACATAATTTAGGTATGTTGTTGGGAGGGGTTGAAAAAAGACATCCTGCTGGGAAAAGTGGAGGGTCAGACAAAGAGAGGAAGATCCTCAACAAGATGGACTGACCCAGGGACTGCAGCAACGAGCTCAGGTGTGGAGAGACCCTGAGGGCGGCACAGGACAGGGCAGGCTTCAGATCCACTATCACAGTAGCCACGAGTCAGACTACATTTGACGGCACCTAACAACAACAAGCTCTGAAAGAAAGCACAATTTCTGAGAATTCTAAGGTTTATCGTGAACATCACTTCTTTCAAGGTGCAGAATGATCTGTGTTCTCCCTTGTCCTGGCTGCAAGCCACCCTCTCCCATGGGCTACCAGTTCCAGGAGCTTATCTGGAAGACAGGAGGATGCACATTAGGTCTCACACACCAGGCTTCAAACACACAGCTCACCTTCTCTTTCCTTCGTTTGTGTTCCTTCTTAGTTTTGTGCTTTTCCTTGCTCTTTTTATGTTTCTCCTTTTGAGGTAGCTCAAGTTTCTGACGAGCATCTGAAACAAACAATGTAATAAGCATATGAACTATAAAATGAAAAAGAAAAAAGTTAGTTATTGAAAAAAGAAATCATTAATTATTGGATAGGGAGCTTTAGTGGTCTGTAGAAGCTATGATTTAACCCAAAGACTCCACCTCTCTGGTGGTTCGAATCCACCAGCGACCCCCTGGGAGAAAGGTGGGTAATCATTTCTTCAGTGAGATTTATAGCCATGGAAGCCCAATAAAGGGTCAGTTATAAATGGTTCACACTCAAAGGCAATGGATGAAATCACTGAATTAGAAATCTGAACTAGATGAAATGTTTAATATTGAAACAGACCTCTCCCTACCTTTTGATTTGCTCCTGCTTCACTGAAAAACAGGTTAGCATTTCACATTGTAGCTCAATATATTGGGAAAGGTGTAAGAAACCTCAACACAAGACGGGTGTGAGCCAACCAATACCATGCCAGATGAAGATAATGTCCAAGCAGAATTCCACTAGCCTTCTGTAATCAGACATCCTCAGCTATGTTCAGAGGCAGACTGGAAGCCGATCTTAGCTCTGCTCCCAGCTCTGTGATCTCTGGTACACTGCTGTACCTCTCTAAGCATCAGTGTCCCCACATGTAAAATGAGGATAATAAGAAGCCGATGCCTCTTAGGGACAGAGGGAGAATTAGAAAGGACGGTGACAAGGAATCCCACAGCTTGGAATCTGGCACGTGAGGATAAGCTCCCTTAAGAGAAGCATCATTCTCCCTTTACAAAGCACATTTTATGAGAATTTGTCTCACAAACACACACCAAAAAGCTATTATCTATAAAAAATAATAATAAATTGGCACCTACCAAAACAGCATAATAAAGTTATAGAATTTTTTAAACCCCCCAAACACAAAAACACCTATCCAAGTTACATGCTGCTAAATCTTGCACCTCCAAATTCAAACCCAAATCTTTCTACAGGTAATCAGCGTCATAAACAAGTCAGCAAAAAGTCCAATATTAGAAGAATTATAAGTTATTAAAATAACTTCTCCACTTGAACTACAAAGATGTTTCCGAGATAGGGATATTTTCTAAAATACAGTCAACAGGTATCTATAACTTCTTAGTCCTATACTTCGTCATATTTTCAAAATTGGACCTTCTTCATAGTTTTTTTTAAAATGTTAGTTTGTAGAAAACCATTTCTTTCAATTTTTCATGGACAAAATTAAGTTACTAAATGCTACAAGGGCGTCAAGGACGGTCTGGGAGAGGAGTATAAACTAAGTTTAGTTTTCAAGTCCTGGTACATTTACTTTAAACTAGAGATCTAAATAACTAAAGCAAATTAAGAACTATATTCACTGCGATTTTTCAAACCTTCATTTTGTTTACTCTTCTCTCATTATCTTGTTTAATTTATAACAAAAATCATAAATCTTCACAGGTTGTCTTTGTTGTGTGCTCTTAGTTGGAACCAACTCCCAGCTGACCCTCCAGGGGTTTTCAGAGGCTGGAAGGGGCACAGGAGGAGGCTGCCCATCCTTCTCCCATGGAGCAGGTGATGGGTTCACACCCTGCCTCTGGGCTGGCAGGACAGCTCCTTACCACTGGACCACCACAGCTTGGTGGGCACTGCAGGAAACCATAAAGTAATAACAGCGTATCATCCATATATCCGGACCATTCTTTCCCATACTCACTAATCTAGCCTTTAAAAAGGATGATAAAATAGGACATCAGTGTAATCTGGCCCTAACTAGAAGTGCCTTTCTGAATGAGGAAGGATGGACTCTTTACTTCTGAAGGAACTAGAAATTTCTTTTACTTCTTTACATTAGCCAAAATGGAAAAGAATTCTTAGACTTCTGTTCTTCCTACAACTCCAACCTTTATCTCCTTGATTTTTTTACCTTCTGTAATTGGCAAAATTTATGATACTTTAGGACTCTGTTATAAACCTCTGAAAGTTTAAAAACAAATACTGTTTCAAGGTCTCTGAGGCTACAAAGTAACTATTTTTAGGCACAAGGCAGAGACAAAACCTTTCAAAATATGACTGAAAACAAATAAACCAGGTATGTGTATCTGGTCTGCTCCTGTTGGATTAGCAGGGTGGATTTCTCATCTCTGAGGGGACAGGGGTCTTGATGCAACAGAAGACATGTGGTGCTCAGGACTCACTGGGACAGAAGACAGGAGGCAGCCGGGGCCCGAACTCTTCTCTTTCATCGATGTGCAGCTTCTGGATCAGGAAGGAAGGGGCAGGTGCTTGGGGTGCTGGTTCACCAGCTGCAAGACAGCAGATATTCATTAATTTTATTTTCCAAATTAATTAATTTTTAATTAATATATATAGTTATCAGCTAATATGTGATTCATAGTGAGTTTAACAAGCTCCAGGCAGGAATTCACAAAACAGTAGTTAAGCATGGTGGGCACACATGGACATTTTATAACTGAAGGCATCACAGACTGCCATGGAGGGGGGCACATGTGCCCCATATCACTCAGCTGAGACCGAAAGGGTCCAAACACATCCTCGATCTCAATTTCTGAGGAAAAAAACAAAGCAAACTTACAAACATGCAGAAAAACAATGTCCCATCTCAGAAAAGTGAGGAGACAAATTTTACTAAAACAAAAAAAATCATATTCATAATTTCTCAGATTATTGTATTTTCAATGTAGGTGGAAAAATGGGAAAAAAAAACGCAAAGCATTAGCAGTGACTTAGAGTATCAGCCCCATGCCCACCCTGTTTGTCCAACGATCAAATACAGCTCTCCTAAAGACTTATCAGAGATCTGCCCCAGATGTGAAAAAAGAACTCTGTTCTCCCAGTGAAATCCACTAAAAGACGACTCATCATTGGCAAGTGCACCTTTTCCTGGTTTACAAGCACCGGCGGAAGAGGCAAATCTCTGAAGGCATCCTCCTTTTCTCCCACAGACCTACAAGTCTGAAACCCTGACATACCGGGTGCCGCTGCGGACGCTTCCACCCTGCCCGTCTCTTCGGAACGCTCACGGTCGGCTTCCTCGACACTCATCTGATCATCCTCACTGCTGTCCTGCTCATCCTCAGAAGACGAGGACTTTTCATCGGACGAGCTGGCAAAGATGGCCTTGAACAAGTCCATGGGCGGGCGACTCCCTTCTCCTTCGGGCTGTGATTCTGTGCCCTCATTTACCACCTGTATTAACAGTGAAATAAGAGGAGTGAAGAAGAGGGAAGGGAGCAAACATTCTAGAATACACATACAAATGGGTTGATGGATATACATGTACACTGGTATTCATTCACATTGATACTAAATAAGGATCTCATTAAGAGTAAGTAATCTAAACAGCTTCTCTTTTTTCTTCCTTTTTTTTTTTGTGCTTCTGAGTCCATAACTATGGAATGTAGGAATGAGGGGGTGCATCTGGAGCATACAATAAAAAGAGCTCTGGTGGAGACCAGGCATTAACCAGAATTGCTTAGGGCAATGCAGCAGGGCGAGTACAGCACCTCCGTCCTCTGTCCCTAATTTAAGGGCGAACAAGACTCTCAATATCACACATTTCCATTTTGAAGACTGCCAGCTCTTTGATTATGGTGTCTTTATGCAGCATTTTCCAGCCCATATCAGCTGTTTCTCTCGGAATTCCGATGACACAAATGTTTGGCCTTTTAATATTCTCTCAGGGGTCCCTGCAACCCTATTAACTTGGTTTATTCAGTCTCTTATCTCTGTTGTTCAAGCTGGATCAATTCTACTGATTTGTCTTCAAATATACTTGACTTTTTCCTGCGTCATCTCCACTCTGCTATGAACCCACAAAATGCATGTTTTCAGTTACTGCTTCATTTCTAAACTTTCCATTTGGTTCGTCTTCTATCTTTTATTCTTTGCTCTGATTTTTTTCATCTTCCTATTCATTTTTCTCTAATTCTGGGAACACCACTCACCTCACTCTTTGCTGTCAAGTTGGAATTGACCCTAGCTGACTTTTCAGTGGGATTTCGGAGGCTGTAAATCACACTGCCCATCTTTCTCCTGAGGAGCAACTGGTGAATTCGAATTAGCAGCCTTTGGCTTGGGCGTGTAACTCCCTATCCAGTAGGCCACGAGAGCTCCATTCTAGGAACACAGCTACTTTAAAGTATTTTCTGATAGTTCTAACATGTCTGTCATTTCAGAGTTGGCATCTGTCTATTATCTTTTACGCTGCCAGTTGGCATTCTCTTAGTTGTCCATGCACCAAGTTATTTCGGACTGCATCCTAAACATTTTGAGTTGTTATAAGACTTTGACAGTTCTTAAATTTCTAAGAAGAATGTAAGCTTTGTTCTGTTGTAGCAGACCATCAAGTTAGTTCACGCTGCAAGCTGTAACCCAATTTCTGTGACTGTAATGTCTCTTTTGTTTTCAACAGCTGAAAACCAAAGGTAACTTGAATAACTTGAAAACAGAGGGGAAAATCACTTCAGAGTTTTACATCAGAAACCATAGAGACTAAAAATGGTATAATATTTTAAAGTGTTGGAATAACAGAGTTATCAATCTAGAATTCTACATCCAGTAAAAATATCCTTAGGGAATGAAGATGAAAGACATTCTCAGATGGGGAAAAAATAAGAATATTCGTTATTGAAATGTCTTTAAAAGAAATGCTAAATGAAGTTCTTCAGAGAGAAGGAAATGATAAAAGAGGGGAATCTAGAATTTAGAAATGAAGAAAGAGCAACAGAAATGGTACATCTGTATAAGTAGGGAAATCAAGGCCTATATATTGATAAGGTTTCTACTTTCCACTTGAAGTTGTTGTTAGAGGCCATCGAGTACGACTCATAGTGACCCTATGAACAAAAGACCTGAACCCCGTCCTGTTCTGTGCCATCTTTACGCCTTCTGACTGGTGCTGATGCTGATGTTCGAGCCCATTACAGCAGTCATTGTGTCAATCCATCTGACTGAGGGTCTTATCCTTCACTGACCTTTCCAAACCTGATGTCCCTCTTCAAGGAATAGCCTCCGATAGAAACATGCCCAAAGTATGTGAAACAAAGTAGTAAAATATTAATTCTAAATAGACAGTGAAAGAATAAGTATGTATAATGTTGTCATTTCAAAAGAAATCACTAATAGAATATAAAAATAAATTAAAATGTAATACTAAATAATATGCAAGTAGACTACATAATAAAAAACAAGAAATGCAAAACAAAGCAGAAAAGTAAAGCAAGAACAACAAAGAAGGGAGAAAAAAACCCAAAAATTTTAGACTAAAATCCAAATACATCAACAACAACACTAAATGCAAATGATTAAAATACACAAGTTAAAAGACAAAGATTATCAGAATGTAGAAAACTATAAGACCAAATACTATGCTGTCTATAGAATTCTATTTAAACTTAATTATATAAGGCAGGTTAAAATGACCATCCTAATATCAGATTTATTAGGAAACAGATGCCAAAATTAGCAGAAATTGAAGATATGAAATGATAAAAGCATTAATTCACCAAAAAGACATACCACACTTCAGTGTTACATAGCTTAACAAGATAGATTCAGGACAAATTAAGCAAAAATCACTTATTTTTACAGCTTCTTAAAAAGTTACTATATACATATAATAAAACCTCAGAATGTTACTTCTAAATAGTTATTTACCTTAGAGAAATGAAAACTTATGTTCACATGAAAATCCATACACAGAAGTTCACAGCCCCTTTACGTGTAACAGCCAAAAGCTTGAAACAACTTAAATGGTATTTTCAGTTGCTATCCCACGCAACTGAAAGCTGGACAGTAAAAAGATGACAAAGAATCGAATGCATCTGAGCTGTGGTGCTGGGGAAGAACATCCCATGCTCTGACAAAGGAACAAATCTGCCTTGAAGGAAGTACAACCAGGCAAGGATGGTGACATCCCACCTTCCTTACTTCGGGCCATTTTCAGGAGGAATCAGTTCCTGGAGAGAGTTGTCACGCAGGGAAAGGTAAGAATCAGAGAAGAATGGAAGACCCACCAGGAGATGGTGCTGAGTGGGCTGAAGCGTGACAGAGACCATGAGCACGGTGCAGGACGGGGCAAGGTGCACAGGGGGTGTTCATAAGATCACTATGAATCACAGTCAATTCAACGGCACCCAACAACACTGAGAGAAATAAAAACTTTTTATTAAGGTCAAGTTTTAATGATGAACTTATAAAGCAGCATTTTTAAAATTACTATTATCTCTATATTCTCCCCAAAAGAGAACATTTCCAATTTGGAGAGCAGTGCATTACATTACAGACTACACTGCCAGAGCCTCTATTTTCCAATCTGGAAACACTGAATTTGGTTTCAATGGCTGCTACTAAATGAAAGCTCTTCTAGGGAGAGAGCTCACGAGCTCTCCTTGCGTTATTAAAGCCATGACTGAAAATCTTGGCTACTGAACAAACTACCACTCACAGGCCAAATCCAGCCCATCATCTGTTTTTCTGAATAAAGTTTTATCGGAACAAAACTACATGCAATCATCGTCATCTTATCCATTGTTCCTTTCACATTCAAGAGCAGAGATTAGTGGCTGCAAAACAGCCTAAAATATTTATTTACCTGGCCTTTCACAGAAAAGGTTTGAAAACCCTAGCAATCAAGCAGTGAACGAAGGCGTCATCACAGAAAACAGTAAGTCAGTAAGTCTGACAGTGAGAACTGGGAGGGGCAACGTACCTTACTGGGCAGTGACTCTGTTGCATGCTTTTCCTCTTTGTTCACTGGAGGGCTGGACTCTTGTTTAGGTGCGGCCACTTTTGATCTGGCCAAACTTAAAAATTCACTAATGGAGTCCTTCTTCTTTTCTTGTGTAGATGGATCCCACCTGGAAGGTTTTCTTGGTTCTGAAAGGTAGGACAGAGACACAAAATCAGAATTAGAAAGTTCTTGGATGAACTAAAGAACAATAATAAAGAGCTTGCCTTTTGTAAAAGTTCTACGTGTGTTTGTGTGTGTGTGCACATGCCCCACACCACACACACATACAGCCACACCTACTGAGGGACAGGCACAATGCATGGTGTTAGGCTCTGGGAAGGACAACACAGAGCCTCAACGTCAAACAACGTGCACATGGCCATTACGACTGGGGCTACCTTATTCACATAGCAATTCTCCTAATGGAGAAAAGTTCACATGATCTATATACTTAGGACTAGACTCCCCCTTTCTTGGACCTTCCCAACAGGCTAAAGGTTGAGGCCTTTGGAACAGGTAGACTTGAGGAAGACCCCACTCACTGTCGGGACCTCGGGGCTGCTGCAGTGCTTTTTCACTTGATGCTTGGGTCACAGACAAGGACGATGTCTCTGGGAGTGTCAGAAAGTTAAAGACTGAGTATTTGTCACGTTTCACTCTTGGTAATCCAACTAAGGTTGAACTGGGGGTGGAAAAAAAAGACAATTTTAATTACATCTGTTGGATAAAATCTATTTGTTTAAAACTTTCCACCAACCTTTCTACTTGGCTAAAATGGTCCCTTAAGATGTTACCAATTTTCCAGGGTGCTTGGGTGGCCTAATGGCAAGAAGCTATACAGCAATGCCAAAGGCATGTGGTTCAAATCCACCAGCTGCTCCATGGGAGAAGACTGGGCAATCTTCTCCTGGTGATTCACTGTCCTGAAAACCCACTAGGGGTCAGCTATGGGGTCAGTTCCAACTTGATGGTACTCAGTAACAACAAGATAGTTGTAAGAAATATCAAAGCAAAGCACATGACTTTGACAGTTAACTAATGTACACCTTAAAGCCAAGGTGTCCACCTTAAGAATTAAGGTGCACCTGACTCCATGATATTTTCAGTCACCTCTTACGCATGTGAAAGCTGGACAGTGAATAAGGAAGAAAGAGGAACTGGGGCCTTTGAATTTTGGTGCAGGAGAAGAATATTGAAAATACTACAGACTGTCAAAAGAACCAACAAATCTGCCTTGGGAGTACAGCCAGCATGTGACTCCTCTGCAGCAACACAGCTTTGTCACCTCGGTGGTGCTCAGTGTCTGGAGAAGGGCATCGTGAGGGGGGAACGTGAGGCCTTTCGCAAGTGAACTAACAGCGGCCGCAGCGATGACTCAGACTCAACAACCACTGTGACTGTGGGACAGGATTGGCGTGTTTCGTTCTGTTGTGACCTTGTCAGTACCTAACAAGCTGTTTCTGATTCTCAAAGCAGTTAAGAATTTATAACAGTTAACTCTAAGACCCATAAGTCTTTCCTTATTACGAAAAGACTAGGACTTAAAATGTTACACTTTTATAAAGAGAATTAGAAAGCATAAGTAACTTTTAAAATGTAGTCCACAGGGTGCATGAAAAAAAGAGGTGGCAAATTCTCAAAACACTGGAACAGAATCACTAACCCTCGGCAGGTGTTCGGGAGGCTGTAAATCACCCAGGAGAAGCCTGCCCACTTCTCCCTCAGAGCCTCTGATGGATTCAGACCAGCAGGAAGGTGCCACCTTCGGGTTGGTAATGTAATGCCCTATAGATTCTGGCTGTTGTCGTTGTTAGGTGCCATCAAATACAACTCACAGTGACCCTATGAACATAGATCTGAAACCTGCCCAATCCTGTGCATCAACTCTACTCCAAGTCAAATCTTCGATCTGTTATCTGGAGGGTTCCGTTGTGTTTTAGTAGCAAGTGAGTGGGAGGGAGTTAAAGTAAATCTCCAAAATTTTCAACTCTAAGGACACACAAGTTTATCTAGATAAAAGGGAATCATAGGATGATGTTAAGGGAAAAGTTAACTTTAATATACGAGAATAAACTTTGTCCCAGTACAAAGGCAGGCCCAGTTAACTTACTCTGGGTAAGGGTCTGGGACATTAAACCTCTTACACAGGAGCTTGTCAGGGTGCCACTCAAACTTGTCACGGGTGAGCTTCCCAAACATCTTCATCTTCACAGCCGTCTGCTTGTCGTTGACATCATTCTGGGAAAACACATTCATTCAGTTCAACAGATGGTCATCATCTCACCTGACTATTTCCTCCACTTCAACATTTTTGGGTGACCTTCTAAAATCACAGAGCAGCTCAGGCTAAACATTTTGGGCCTTGGTAGTACTTGGTAGATGCTGGAATCTAAATCATGAACTTGTCTCTCACCCTACTGTGCCATGTGTATTTTGATATTTTCACTGAGAGATTGAAAACATTTGGTTCTACCATGTCCCTCTCATTCCCCGTCTTTGGTCACCACAGACTGGCTGTGGTTCTTGTTTCTTCTGATTATGTAGAATATAACCAACTTTACTATTACCCAGCATAACCCCAGAGTCTACTTGGTGTGGACACATTTAACAGAAGTTACCATTCTCTTAGTTCCCCTCTTGGTTACCATTCTCTAGTCTAGTGCATACCAGTGTCCTCCTCATTTAACTGCCTATCCCTCTGAGGTTCTGAAATGCTGGTTTTTGTTACGTAAACCACACACAGCTCCTGAGGCCTGATGTTCCTCAGCAACTTGGCCCTTTTTGAACCTCAGCCATTTTGAAAAGTACCTCCAAAACTTCAACTTTTCAGTCTTTGGTCTTATTTGTAAATGATGTTTGTGGTTCCCAACTCTGTCTCACGTTGCTAAAACCTATGGTATTAATTTCTGGGTCACCCTTTTAAAAACAGACAGAATTTAATGGTTAACAAAAAGGTGAGCAATTTCCTTCTCGCCCAAGGCTGACAAGCGTATAGAGTTCCAATTTTCAAATTCACCAGGAAGGGACAGGAGGGCGGCAGACCTCTTGGTCCCGAGGAACTTCCACTTGATCCGAATCGTCCTCCTCCTTGGCATGCGTGAACCTGGAGGACAGGGTGGAATGAGAAGACACGTACAGCTGGGACGCTCGAGCGAACTCGTCCCGCTCACGGCCTCGCTCCCACTCGGTCATGTTAGGATCCAGACATCTTTCCAGAGCATCTACGGCACAGAGGACAAGAAACTGTTTCACTTCTAGGAAAAGCAGGAGGCTCGAAGGAGACCATCTTTGAATGCTGGCCACTTATCTGTAAGGGGTAGGGAGAGGTGGGGGCACGTGGCAGGGTTAACACCACTCTCTCCGTCAAAATGATGCTCCTATTTCATTGTCATTCACAGTAACGGACAGAATCACGTTAGGGACCAACATCTGGCTGTGTCTTCTGAAGAAGCAGCTTGTCACTGCTCCCTGCTATACTCATGGCTTGGCAGGAAACTCATTCCCTTAGGTTTTTTTGAACATAGAAAATCTTCTTTTTCCCATATTGATGCACATTTTCTTTCACTCTCCCCATCTCCCCTAGCCAACCCCACAATGCACTCCTTGTTCCAGATTTGTCATACATATAATGCCTAATCCTATATTCCTTTCAGACAGTGACACAGAGATGGCAAACAAGCACATGAAGAAATGTTCAAAATCCCCAGCTATCAGAGAGACGCAAACCAAAACAACTATGAGATATCACCTCACCCCAGCAACAACAGTAAAGTTCAACAGGCCAGCAAACAACAAACGCTGGCAAGGCTGCTCACTGTCGAGGGTAACGTAAAATGATGCAGCCACTGTGGAAAGCGGTCTGGCGCTTTCTCTATTTTTTCCTTCTTCATTTAACAAATCAATGTTGTTGTTGTTATTAAATGCCGTCAAGTCATAGACGACCTATAATGACCCTATGAACAAATGTCTTGAACACAAAAATTTCATCTTTTTTCTCCAAGTTCATAGAGTTTCCGGAGGCAAGCTTATTTTGGAAGTGGATACCACTCCTGCTTCCAAGCCTGTTTTATTCTGGAGATCCACAAAAAGCCTTTTTAAATACAAGGCCAAATCCAATCAGCTCACATCCTATTGTGACCAAAAGCCACAGCCTAGTTTCAACCCCAAACCAGAAAACACACCTCAGCAGAATCCGGCCGCTCTGCCCACCTTCCCAGCCTGCAAACAATAGTAGCACTATTTCTCAGTAGCACAGTAACTGGACTTTATATTTCCCCAAAGATCAGCTTTTGAAAACAACTCCTCTAGTTTGTGGATACCCTCCCACAGGGACTACTAAATATGACAGTAACCCCCTTCTCGCCCTTCCCATGTTTACTTCTTAGATCACAGTAAGATCTTCTCCCACACAAAATAACTGCTACAGCTAACTATCTTGGGTCAAATTTTAGACTTCATTTCATTTGGGGTTGATGTTAGGCACCAAGAAGCTGGATTATGAAGAAGAACGTGGCAAGAGGATTGAAAGAAGGCTCATTAACAGCCTGTGACATGCAGATGGCGCAGCCCTGCTAACTGAGAAGGCAGGTCGAAAGGCCCTGCTCTGTCAGCCTTTGCAAGAAGACTTGAAGTGCTTCCTGGAGCCTTCAGAACAGATCTCACCTCAAAATAAAAATCCTCACAACTAGATTTCATTTTATTCGTATCCACAATCAACGCCCACAGAAGTAGCAGCCAAGAAACCAGAAGCAGCACTGTCTTGGACAGGTGTGCTACAGAAGACCTCTGAACATGCTCAGGAGCAAAAATGCCACTTGAGAACTGCAGGGCACCCACCCCAAGCCACAGTACTCTCAACGTACTCACGTGCATGAGAAAGCTGGACACTGAGAAAGGAAAGCCAGAGAAGAACTGGTGTCTTTGAGTTATAGTGTTAGCAAGGCACACTGACTCTACCCCAGACTGCCAGGAAAACAAACAAATCTGTCTTAAAGAAGCACAGCCAGATGAATCGTCTTTTTCTTTCATGAATGCTTCTTAGAAGCAAGGACAGTGAGATTTCCTCCACCTCACACACTCTGAGTTCAGCAGGAGGGACTGTCACGCTTGATAAAGCAGAGAGTGAGTGACAAGGAGGAAGGCCTTTAACGAGACAGGCTGAACGGTGGCCGCAACAATTTCACAGCAGCTAACTGTGGAAATGGGACAAGAGGGGGCAATGTTGTGTCCTGTTACACAGGGTTTCTAAGACTTGAAAGTGGCTTGATGGCCCCAAACGATGACACTATTTTCAGTCAAATGTTAGACTTACTTTGATTCAGGGTTGGATGTTAGGATCCGAAGGGAAAGCGGCAATGACATCATTCCCTTAGTTGTAAGCATTTGTTACATGTTTGAATATAACAAAGAATTCAAGAATATGCAAATAGTAGAGCAAGTCCTGTATTTGTTGTTACGTGCCATCAAGTCACCTGTGACTCAGCGACCCCCTGTACAACAGCTCTGAAGCCTGCCTGTCCTGAGCCTGTCTCACTGACTCCAACACACCTACCCCCACTACCCCAGTTACTGTCTCAATCCATCTCATCCCGGGTCTTCCTCTCCTGTGCTGTTCCTCCACCCTTCCAAGCATGATGTCCATCTCCAAGGACTGGGCCCAAAGTCTGTGAGATGGAGCTTCAAAATCCTAGCCTAGTAGGAGAAACTCAAGACAGACCTGTTTGCTTCCTGTACTTACTCCTGGGCCCTAAAATGTAGAGAAACAATTGACTGGCTAGCTGATCTTTTCTTCCAAGCCCAAGACAAGGCCAAACCTTGTACTGTTCGCAGTTGATGTTGTGTGCCCTCAAGTCAGTTTTCACAGGCAGTAAATCACATGGGAGTAGATTGTCCATCTTTCTCCCATGGAGCAGCTGGTAAAGTCTAACTGTGTGCCTTTGGGCTGGCAGTACAGCTCCTCACCGCTAGGCCAGACAAAGCGAAAACACTGGCTGAGCAGGACGTTTCAACTTTAAATCTGGAGATAAGGCGAGAACATGAGGGACCCAAAATTAACACTTACCTTTGTGACCCTGTTTCATATTTACTAAGAAAGTTTCGTATCTTTTTTGCTTTTCTGGATCTTTTGCAAAAGGTTTGAAATTGCTGGCTCTTGTGTTGGCTGCTCTTTCACTCAACGCCAAGTGCCACGAGCTGTGTCTGAGGTCTGGAGAGGACGCCTGGGGTCTGCTGTGCGGGGCATGCTGGGCCAGACTCCCGGCCTTGAGTTGAGCTGCTTTAAGATCAGTTGCCTGCTTTACCTCCTTAATCCTTTCTTTATCTTTTTGGGACAGAAACTCTAAAACTGAAGTAGCTGAGCCTTAAAAAAAAAATCAACAGAAAGAGAAATTAAAATTCTCATATTTCTTGGTACACACATTTTCAAGAACATAAATTTATAACACTGGATATAATTATTTTCATATGTTGTGTTTTTCTTCATATTATTCCTGTGAACCACAGTAAAAATCAGAGACTCCTATTTTATACTTGATAAAGATGGAGTGTAACACTCGAATGTTTACAGAGCAAATGAGTAGACTGGGAATGAGAGCTGGCATCCCAGGCGATCTCCAGGCTCCAATGCCGCTGCTTCCACAGCTCCGCTCAGCATCCCTTCACGCTGGCTCAGGGCACAGCTACCCCCTGAGCCTTTGTTCACGTCACAAATGCTGATTGGACACTGACACCGTGCCAGGACCTGGGCTAGGGGCTGGCGATGAAGGAGATGAGGGCCTCCTTTCACTAGTAAGGAAGATGAACACTGGCGAAGCCAAAAACAACACAAGAGTGAAACCTAAAATAACAGGAGGACATGGAGAACAGTAACTGGGGTGCTCCTTAAGGCAAGGATGGTGAGACTTTGGCTCACGTACTTTGGGCGTATTGTCATGGGACAAAAAACATAATGCTTGGAAAGGTATAGGTCGGCGAAAGAGAGGAAGACCCTCAACAAGGGGGACTGACACAGTGACTGTAACAGTGTGCTCGAGTCCATCAGAGAGGATGAGGATGGCAAAGGACAGCCAGGGTCTAGATCAGCACTGCTACACGTCGTAGTCAGCTTGATAGCACCTGACCACAAGAAGCTGGGTGGGAGCCGCGCCCCTCACCCAAAGGCTGAGCGTCACCAGAGGCGATCTGTCCTGTGTGCACAGCCCTGACACCCAACGGAGGGTCAACTGTGTCAGATCCAACTCCGTGTCAATGAGCTTGAGTTTTAAGCTAGGTAGGTTGATAATGGGAGATGGAGGGAGGGAGCAGTAACTAATTTCCAGGTGGTCAAGGAAGTTCCGGAAGGTCTCAGTAAAAAGCTAATATCTGAGCTAAATCCTAAGTAACCAAAAAGGAGCCAGACACAAAATTCCAAGGGGAGTGACGTAGAGGAAATAACGCACACCAAGGTCTGGGGGGTGCTATTATGCTTTGCAGACGTGGGGGCCGAAAGGAGGACTGTGAGGCTGGGCCCCAGAGAGAACTGAGGAAAGTGGCAGAGGTCTGCTGGGATTGAAACAATGCTGGACTGGGGAGGGTCTTGCGGGGATAACCACTGCAAGTGCGAGAGATGCTGGCAGGTCGTAAAGACATTGATATAATCTGGCTCATCTGGCTGCTATTGAGAGGAACGGACCACATGGAAAAGGAGGGAAAATGAGGCTTCTGTGAGAATCCAGGCGAGAGAAGAGGGGAAGGTGGAGCCCAGGGAAGCAGGAGAGAGTAGATGCTTTCCCCATGCTTGATGGAGGGAGCTGAAGGACCTGCTAATGGATTGTGTTGGGGAGGAGAAGGAAGAGCGAGCGATGAGCTAGGAATCAGCATCCTTGTGCCTGGCCCGAGCGTGGGGGGTTTCTGTAGCTGAGATGAGGATTCCAGGAGGCAAGAGCAAGTTTGGGGAAGGGTGTGGGGCCAGGGGCCCTGCCGTGCTCTTTGTATTGAACCTGTTTGTTAGGCTCCCGAGTGGGGGCCAGGGGTCCTGCTGTGGTCTTTGTATTTAACCTGTTAGGCTCCTGAGTGGCCAGTGGCCACGAACACTCAAGTTACCTGTCACAGGGGGCACTTCGGCTGCAAGCTTCAGGGGATTCACCAGAGTTCTCACAGTTATAAGCTTTTATGAAAAGAGCTATTTTATCTTTCTTTCCAAAAAAGAAAAGGCACGCTTCCCCAGGCTGGGCAGAGAAAAGTCAAGGTACAAGCATCCCTGGTCTTAATTACATTCCTGGATAAATACCAAATGTTTGCAAATGAAAAAGATTTTTCTTTCCATAATGGGAATGGGGCAAATAAATGGTAGGGAAATGACAGATGCTAAGAAATAATTCTCTTCTCACAGTTTGGGAATAGGAAACCATATAAAAATTTTAATGGGAACCACTTTCCATTTTGATTTTAATTCACATTATTTCAACAATGATGTCCTCTTTCTCCACAGCTCATACCTGGAATAGGAGTCTCTCCTAGCAAGTCCCCGCGCTTAGAGGCATTCAGTTGGTGCCTACTAGGCGTCCCGAGGTCACATACTGCCTTTCCAGATGACTCTGATAACACCTGAAGTAAGTGGGCATTTTCTGAAGTTGCAGCTACAATGGGTCTGAAATAATGCACTGGTCGATAGTCTCTTGGCAACTCAGGTGGTGGATAAATCTTTAAAAAAAAAAAGCAGCAATACCAACAGACATTAGAGTTGCAATAAGATCATGCTTGGCTTAACCAAGAAAGCCTGCTCCCTTTGAGCACTGTTAGACCCAATCTCTTCCAGGTTAAAGTTCAGTACTAAGGAGAGTCTCTGCAGCTGGAGGGTCACCAGAACTGCACTGTTACAACAGCCAGGCATCTTTACTATCGCTGCTCTCCACTTCCACCCAGTGCTGTTCATAGATGACAAGAAAGAATCCCAGCTAACACAACGCACTGGCCCACATGTGGACCTGGCTCACTGGAAGCCGAATTCTGAATTTGGTAAGTTCTGAATGCAGTAAATTCAGAATTTGGTTTCAAAGTTATATTTCAGTTTCAAGTTGAAACTTCAGTCTCTACTTCTTTTCCTTTTTAAAAAATGCATTATTTATTTATACTAGTTTATCTACAAGATTTGAATACATTGTTTTTCAGACCAGATTCTTCCAATTTCCCTCACGTCCCCCTACCCACAAATTGTACAACCCCATGATTAATGCACCCCCTTGCACATCCCCACCCCTCTGCTTCCACTCCCCCCCTTGGATCTTCATATTCCTTCTGTTTTATACTTTTATATTTATCTTTGTGGGACTGAATTAGTTCACTCAGCATAATGTTCTCCAGTCCCTCGCAAGTTAGGTAATAATTTACAAAATCATTACTCCTGTGTGCTGCATTGTGTACCATAATTTGTCAATCCATTTGATTGTGGTTGGACAACTGGGCTGTTTCCATGTTCTTGTGATGGTAAATGCTGCTGCTGTGAACACTGGTGTACAAGTCTCCATTTGTGCCTCTGTTCTTACTTTCTCAGGGTATATTCCAAGCAGTGGAATAGCTGGGTCATAGGGAATTTCTATTGTCAGCTTTTTATTTATTGTATTGTTCTTGTGGAGATTACACACAGCAAAACTCAACACACTGACTCAGCGGTTTCTACACGGACCATTCTGTAACACTGGTTACATTCCTTGAGTCCCCCAGCCATTCTCATCCTCGTCTTCTTTCAACATAAAGTCACTGTCACTGCTCCCTAAGGTTCTTCTCTCACTTTTCAAGTAAATTTGATCCCATAAAGATAGTTCTTAAAAGAGCAAAATGTTCACAGCAGATATTTGTTATCATTAAACTAAGCTACTGTTTGGTTTATAAGGAGACTTCAGGAGGTATTTTTGGCTTAAGCTTTAAACATTATGAGGGCAACAGTTTCATCCAACCTTCACAACTCCAAGGAGGCTGGACTCTAGGGAAACTTGAAATTCTACTCTGTGTCAGAAAATTCATTAGAATAATTAATCAAGATGTTAGTGATGGTAGATACCACTCAGTTCTAATCCAGGAGGTCACTGGTCACAGAGGCATCTGGTCACATATCCATATCCTCCTGCTGGTCCTGACTCTGCTCCCATTGCTCCAAGTGAACAGACACCTAATGTTGTACCTTAGATGACCATTCGTAAGCTTATAAGACCCTAACAAAGCCTCCTGGTAAGGACCTGTTCTGTCAACCCAAAGGCACATGGTTCAAATCCACCAGCTTTTCCATTATAGAGTCTTCTCCTATGTGATTTCCAGCCTCTGAAAACCCACTAGAAGGTCAGCTACAAGCTGGTTCTGACTCAACGGCAATGAACAACCTAAGACCCTGGGCGCTACGCAACAACCTAGGAAGCAGAACAGAATCAATTAATGTTAGGCCAGTTAATTAGGATCTCATGAAGCCGTGATCCTAAACTCCCACCTAAATCCCATGAGGAATTTGGTTGTATGTATGCAGCTTCAGTAGCTTCCGCCACCTTTTAACCATCACTGTAAAAATATCTTAAAAAAAAATCTTTCACATAACTTTTGCCAATTTACTTTTTCACAACTTATTATCATCTTAATCCTCAGTTATGCAACCCTACCCTTAATCAGTTTGATATTTTTATCATGGTTAGCCCCTCCCTTCCACTCCTAGTAACCACAAATAAACTCTATTCTCTAGGCATGTGCCTTTTCCTGTCTTTGTGTATAAAGGTGACACAGTATTTGTCCTAGGATGATTGACTTATTTCAGGTACTATTTTGTTTTCTATCCAAAATATTTCTAAAAGCTAACTAAACTGAAATTGACATATATTTGAGCATTGTGGATATTTTTACTATTGTTAAGCATGAATAATGACAGAATTGATAAGGTAAAACAAGTATTTTTTAATTATTGTAAAGAGATCCTGTTCAATGAATGCACTAAAGGTCTCCCCTGCTCTTGGCCTAACAGATAGAAACCTAATATGGGATGTTTCTTTCTGAAGCTGTCTGAGAGCTGGGGTTAAGTCCACTCTGAACTCTGGAACCAGGGAGGCACTGAACCCTCTGAGACTGAGGCTCTCAAACTGAGCACACACTTGGGGAGTCTAAGCCAGCCTGCTGCATGCCTCCCCCCTCCACAGCCTGGTGTAATGGGACTTCTCCAAGTTCCCTAGAGAGTGGTGAGTAAGGTCTGAGCTGTGGACTTGGAACACGTGAAAACTCTTGAAAGAAGAGTGTGGCCGCCATCTCGTCATCCCTGGGAAGCCTGGTCAGCATGGCCGGCTCCTGCTTAGGCAGGGGATGTAGAGGGGAGTCGCCCCTCAGTGGGATTCGCTACAACTCCTTTCACTAAAAATCATCATCTTCTACCTAAAAAAAGGTTATCTCCCTAGCTCGGTTTTTATCATCTTGACCCGACCCCCTTCTCTGAAAGGCCTGCACGTCTGGATCAGTCGGCAATCTCTCGTGGAGCTCCCACAGGAATCAGCAGAGGAGCAGGCAAAAGGTGTGTGGGGACCTGCTCCAGGGCGCTTCTCAAAGTGCTCCTCTCCAGAGCCTAACTTCCTGTGCTGCTTTGACTCTGTCGCCAGAGGCTGGTTTTTAACGAGGTTAACCTGACGCTCTGAGAAAGACTTGATGGGCATAGCCCTCCTCTGAATCATCACCCTGCAACCCAGCTCCAGCGAGGAGCCCCCTCAGGAACCTGCAGGCCTAGCTCCCGCTATGACACTGTAAAGCCTGCTGGCTGGGGGATGATGACCAGCTTTCAGCAGAGCCTCCTGATTGAAATGCTCGAGGAAGAGTGTCCTGGCCATCTACCTCCCTAAATCAGGTAACGCAAACCTATGGATCACCATGGTCTGTCATGGCCTCTCAAGGCAGGACCAGGCTGCACTGGATTCTGCTGTCCACAGGGTGCCATGAATCCAGGCCAACCTGACAGGAGTTAACAACAATAACAACTCCTAGTGTATCTGCCTGTCTGGTGCCACATGGACGGCAGCTAACTGAGGGCCAGGACTTATTCTATTTATCCTTAAATCCCCACAGTCAAGTGAGTACTTCTCAACCTCTTCAAAATGTGTCTTCTATGTCCAGTAAAAATCTCACTCATTCAACTGAAACTCATGGAGACTCTCCAATGGGTTTTCAGAGTCTGTGAATGGCATGGGAGGAGACTTCCCACCTTTCTACCATGGAGGAACTGGTGGATTTGAACCACTAGACAGGGGCCACCTTTGGGTTAGCAGCACAGTTCACTCCTCATTAGGCTACCAGAGCTCCCTCCACTAATAGCAGCAGCTTACTATACGCCCTTACTGTGTTCAGTGGAACAGTATCAGACATGTAGACTTTACTTAAATTAGCTCCTTCTGTCCTCCAGCAATACTAATGGAGGCATCATTAGTATTCCCATTTTACAGATGAAACTGAAGCAAGTGAGGTACAGCAACATGTCGAGGGTCAACAGTTTGAGTAGTAGCTTGGCCAACCACCCAGGCTCTAGTGTCAGCGCTCTCGGAGACCAGTGTCCAAACACATTACCCATCAAAATGGAACAAATTAGAGCCACTTGGACACCAGATAGATTTTTTCGGGCTGAACTGCCCCCTGGGCTCCCCTCTTCTGGACTCCAGCCTTGGAGGTGCTTAACAAAAATTGGTTAAATTAAAAACAAGTAGGTGATTAAAGTGAGAAAAAGCCTGAAAAGGGAATGTGAAAATGCCACAGGCCGGGCACTCCTCGTGCGATAAACAGCACCCACATGACGTCTAGAGGAGGTGCCGTGGCCCCAGCTCTGGTGACAATTCCAGGAAGGAGCTAGGGTAGCTTCTTGGCGGGAGGGCAGCCTTTCACACGGGGCTGGAATAGAACCTCACAAATATAAAATGATCTGGGCTGACATGAAGAGTCCTGGAAGTGACCCACAGACACCTGGCTTCTCCCCCTTCTATTAATGGCCAAAACTATGTGGCATTACAGGTTTTTAAAATTTTGCACAGTATGAACTGTTGAACAGGAATTCAACTTGCTGTGTAAATTTACATCTAAAACACAGTAAGATAACCAAAGGAAAAAAGTTTAATTCACTGCAAGTAAAACTTTTACTGAAATGTCACTGTCCCTAGAATTGCCATATCTCTTTTTAATATATTTCTTTCTTAGTAATAATCACTTTTTAAAATAATCATTCACTTGAAGTTGAGATTTAAAAGATTTAAGATTTTTAATATAATATAGCCACTAGCTGGAGTCAATAAAGAGTAACTAGGATGTTACTTTTCTAAAAACAATGTAGTTATGTTTTAATTGTTAATATAATAATATAAAGTAAATAGCAGCAAATATCTTAAACACTAAACCATTAAAGAAAAGAAAAAAGACTTCTTACCTTTTTAGAAGATAAAGATTTAGAAGCCAAGGAGAATCCATCCAAAATTTTGCCAACATATCGTAGATCTTTCTCTGATTCTACAAAATGATGTCACTAATTAATTAATTTCATAATAAGACAAGAGGCTTCAGAAGCTTAGCTTCAAGAACATAAGTACAAAAAAAAAAAAAAGAAGAAAATAAAGTGGAAGAAATAACTCTAAAAAAAAAAAGAACATAAGTACACGTCATGTGTGACATCACTCTAAGATAGCAGTAAAAGGCACAGAAAGAATGGCATTTAAATCTCACACCTCTATTGATTCAGTGACTGGCAGCCCAACCCACACCACACCACACCTCCTACGTCTGATTAGGCTGCCAGGAGACAACGGCATGGCAGCACCTAACAAGCACCTCCACACGGATTCTAGGAAAACCAACTAAAGTCTTCAGGTAAAAACCCACCTAAAGTGCAGTAAGAGACCGAGAGGGAGAGGGGGTAAGATGTGCCACAATGAATGAAGAAAAATCCAACTTTTCTATAAATTTTTGTTAAAATCACAATTAAAATTTTAAAAAATTATCTAAAAAATAAAAGAGACTGAGAGAACAGTAAAGAGCACAAGTGTGTATGAAACAATAATCTCAACTATGAAAAAATCATTTTTAAAAGTAGGTGACCAATTTCCTTAGCAACTATCCAAATAAGAAACACAAAAAGTAGTAAAATAAGGTCATCCAGTAATCAAATCTTGGTGAAAACTATAAAGGTAATTTTCTTGTCTTTTTCACAAATGAAATTCTAACAAGATAAGACAATAAACTTAGGAAACTGAAGGACCTGGAGCCAGGATCTTCCACCAGTGAGGGAGCCAACTCAGAGACAGAGGTCCCCAATTCTCAAGTTCTTCCCATACACAATACTATCATATACTCCTTGCTGTCAAATTGGAACTGACTCATAGCTGACCCTCCAGTGGTTTTCAGAGACTATAAATTACTATGGGAAGCAATTGCTCATAATGCTCCCTCAGAGTAGCTGGTAGATTTGAACTGCCAATCTTTGGGTTGGCAGGGCCGCTTCTTACCCACTAGGCCACCAGAGCTTCAAAGTCTTTTTTGCACAAGCTACATTTCTTGTGCCTTGAAAATCCCTTCTGCATGTTAACCATGAGCATTTACATAAGGTAGGAATTTCACCCTAAACCTGACTACAAAGTAGGGCTGAGGCTTTCAGCAGGTACAAGGAAAGCATGTAAACTATTTTTCCCTAAAGATGAATCTCAATATTTCACTCCACATTGAACTCTGCACCAGCTCCAGAATGTTAAAAAAAAAAATGTGCCATTTGGAATTAGATTTCACATTTTGGGGATTTTTGTACTCTGAAGTCAGCAATCTTTTTCCTGTGAATTTTATTGGTTGTTGTGGTGTGTCATTGAGTCTGACACTCCAGTGGGTTTTCAGTGGCTGTGAGTCACTAGTCCGAAGGCTGATGGTTTGAACCCACCCAGTAGCTCAGCAGGAGAACAGACATGGGGATCTGCACCTGGAAAGATCCCAGCCCAGAAAGGCCAAGGTGCAGCTCTGCCCTGTCATACAGTCAGTCAGCGTCAGAACGGGCTCAACAGCAGGAGTCCACCACCACCCAGGGTAACTGTCAGTAATGACTCAGTGCATCACACAGTCCCGTGTAAAGTCATCAGGTCCTTCTGTGACAGCGATGACAGAGACCTTTCAAGTTTACACAATGCTTGCTTTGTGCCAGGTACGTACATTAAAATCCCTAGGAAATGGGCATGTATGGTCATCTCCACTTTGCAGATGAGGACACGGAGGCACAGAGAGGCGACTAACCTGGGCAAGGTCACAGGTGGTAAGTGGGGAAGACCTGACCTGGCACTTTGTCTCCAGGTTTTATGGTCACAATCTTTAAGCAAAACATCCTCTAAAGATGGTTTTGCATATATGAAATATACATAACTAAATAAATAACAGAATAACTGGGGGATGGCCATGTTTACACATTCTTCTGCAATACTTAGGTATTTCAAAAAGCGTATTTGAGGTGTAGTGTACAAGAGATAGATCCAGTGTTTGACGAGCTGGATGAAGAGGAAGGTATTATACAGTGAGGGGCTCAGCTGATGTAATTCCATCACTAATCAATTGTAATTAATAGTATAAAACAAAATGTGTATGAATGATTAAATGAAAAACCAATGTGATTTTATAAACTTATAAAAAATTTCATTTTTAAAATGAAAAAAGAATTCATATTTTATCTGACTGCAACTGAAAATTCTTTCATTTTTTAAATAATTCTTTAATATTGATTTACATACATATATATATTGTTTCACTGACACACTTTGTGTTTTCTGCATTGCTCCATTCACATTGTTTCACATTATCATTCCCATACATAGGTTTTATGAAATTAATCACCATTGATTCATGTCTGAAAAAACTTTTAAATAGGCTATTTTACATTGTGTTTCATCTCCTATACTCCATTTAGGTTGTCACCATTAATACCACAATCACATTTATTCACTCTTTTGGGGTAGATACTTTCTCAAATACTGAGTATAAACATTATGAGTTCTCACAGTCCGAGTGGATTATTTCCTCACTTTACACATGAGAACTCTTATTCCAGAGAGGTTATGAGTCAAGGTCACACAGCTGGACAGTAGAGAGTGTGGATCCAAATCTAAGTCTAAATGACTCCGAAGTACATGAGGGAGCTTGGTGACTTAGTGGTAAGGAACGGCACTGCCAGTCCAAAGGCACAGAGTTCAAACCCACAAGCTGCTTCACAGGAGGAAGATGGACAATCTCCTCCCATGCTATTTACTGCTTCTAAAAACCCACTGGACAGTCAGATATGGGTTGGTTCTGACTCAATGGCACACAACAACAAATCCCTGATACTAAGACCTACTCTAAGGAGCTCTGGTGGCCTAGTGGGTAAGGAGTTGCACTGCCAACCCAAAAGCAAGTGGTTCAGGTCCACCAGCTGCTCCATGGAGAAGGACAGGCAATCTCCTCCCATGTGATTTACAGCCTCTGAAACCCCACTGGAGGGTCAGCTAGGAAGTCAGTTCTGACTTGATGGCACATAACAGCAATTCCTACCCTCTATCATCTCCTTTTACACCTTTTCTGGAAAGAAACCTGCATACTCTTTAGAACTATAGGACCCGAACCACCATTGACTGTTTGTTGTTGTTGATGTTATGTGCCGTCGAGTGGTTTGCGACTCATAGCGACCCTATGTACAACAGCCCCAAACCCTGCTCTATCCTGTGCCAATTCCATTGCCTCTGACACACCCATCCCGATTACCCCAGTCACTGAATCAATCCACCTCACAGAGGGTCTTCCCATCCTGCGCTGTCCCTCCACTCTGCCCAGCATGATGTTCCTCTCTAAAGACCTGTCTCTCCTTACAACATGTCCAAAGTATGTCAGGCGAAGCCCCAGAATCCTTGCCTCCAAGGAGCAGTCTGGTTTAACCCTCTCTAGAATGAATCTGTTTGTTTTCTTGGCAGTCCATGGTACATTCAATACTCTTCTCCAGCACCACAGCTCAAAGGCATCAATTCTCCTTCTGTCCTCCCTAGTCATTGTCCAGCTCTCTGATGCATAACAAGTGATTGCAAAAACCATGGCCTGTATCAGGTGGACCTTAGTTTCCAGAGAGACACCGTTGCTCTTGAGTACTTTAGAGAGGTCCCTAACCGCAGACTTTCCCATCGCAATACGTTTTTTGATTTCCTGGCTACTGGTGCCAACAGTGTTGACCGTGGAGCCGAGCAAACTGAAGCTGTGAACAATCTCAATCTCTTCACCATCCATCCTGATGTAGCTTGAAATTTTGTTTGTGTAAGAACTTGCCATCCCAGCAAGAACACCCTCACACTCAAAGTGAGGGATTCGAAGACAGGCTGAGTCTTCAGCTCCATCGCTGTGGGCGCTCGTGTGCGTGCTGCCTGCTCCCCACGCTGGCCTTCTGACCTGCTGCTCGAGCTGGCCTGCTTTAGACACCTGCCCAGTTCCTGGGGTTCTGACTGCTCCCCTGTGATCCACTGTCAGCTCTGACTTGTACCCACCCACGTACTGGATGCTTCACTGATCCCAGGCCTTGCTACTGTGGTCCCATCTTGACAGATGGCTTGGGCCTTGGCCTGGTTTAAATCCTGCCTCTGGGCGAGCTCTGGTGGCCTAGTGGCAAGAAGCTGCACTGCAATCCTAAAGGTGAGCAGTTTGAATCCACCAGATGCTGTGCTGGAGAAGAAGGAACAATCTCCTCCTATACCAGTCAGATCAGATTTGACCGTACATACACACACACACACACACACACAAATAATAAAAAAATAAAAATATTCAAAAACAAAATAAACCCAAAACTCAATCCTGCCTGTCTGACTTGCCATGCAATTTCTCCTTCTCCCACTGGTCTCTCATCCTGCACCTTCTATGAACAACCACTTGCCCACGGAGTCTGAACTCATGGCCACCTTGTGCTCTCTTCTTCCAGATGTTCGGTTCTACCACTGGTTGTGGGTCTATGGACTCACCTTTCTGGCTTTTATATTGCTTGGGTGCTGTCCAGCCATATAGGCCATCTCCAGGCTCCTCATCCTTCAAAACCGTGTCATACTTAGACAGTGTTTCTGTGGCATATATATCATCATCTTCCTCTTCTAAGGCACCTACACCAAAAGCCTTCAAGACAACAAGGTTTCATATTGAGCAATTAGACTTTTGAGTACGTATGCCGTGAGGACAGCACCTCGGCACTCTGGGGACACCACGGGACAAGCACAAAGGAGTCCTAGAATAAGACACTCAAGTCTCAGAAAATAACTACTAGGTGTGAACGCCACGCCTCCAGCACTTGGGCTGTGCTCTGGCCCCAGCAGCAGCTGTGAGGCGCAGGCAGAGGACATGCCCGACAGCAGAGGGCGCAGGGGTATCATTTACCCATCAACGCTGCCCGGGCCAGAGCTTCAGCCAAGGCTCGAAGGCTAAGGCTAGGATGAGGGCTGTCCATTTCTATGGGGAATGGCCTCCACCAGTTCAGTTTGAGGGAGCTCTGGTGGCCTAGTGGCAAGAAGCTGCGCTGCAATCTCCTGAAGGCACACAGTTCAAGGCCACCAGATGCTTCGTGGGAGAAGGAGGGACAATCTCCTCGTTTGTGATTAACTGCCTTTGAAAACCCACCAGAGAGTCAGCTGTGGATTGGTTCCGACTCTACGGTACACAACAACAATAACAACAGTCCAATTTGTGTTACCAGTACTAAAGCGGGAGGGACCACAAATAGAAAAGAAATGATAAAACTATAATTCCCAGGTAACCATTTTTGGTATGAAAAACTGCCAGAATGTTCCTTCGAAGCAAAAGTGTGAGCCTGCATCTCATCTACCTTAGATCTGGAGATCATTAGCAGGAGAGACCACCAGTTCTTGGAGAAAGACACCAGGCTTGGTAAAGTAGGAAACAGATTTAAACCCATAGTTGTTGAATCAGAATTGACTCATAGCTGACCCTCCAGTGAGTTCTCAGAGGTGAAAATCCTGTGGGAGGAGACAGGCCATCGTGCTTGTGCAGAACCACTGGTGGGTTTGAACCAGCAGAGAAGCCCGACTCTCAGGTGAGCAGTGCCAATCCCTGTGGCTTCACCAGCAGAGCTCCCTTAGTAAAGGGGAGGGTCAGTGAAACGGTCGGGCCGACATGGCTCAACACCAGGCGGGCAGCACAGCAGTGACTGTGACCTTGGTAGTGACCGGGCGGTCGGGGCTCCACTCTGCTGTACACAGGGTTGCTGTGAGTCGGAACCAAGTGGCACCAAAGAGTCGCCATAACAGGAAGGTGTCACGGTGTGTTTATCCACTAGCCTGATAATGGGGATCTGAGTTCTTCCCAGTTCGGGTCCAATGTGAAAGTCCTACCTGCTCCGATCATTCCTGTGCACCAAGAGACATGCACACAGGCATTTCTGCAGAACAAATACCTGAGTGCAAACGTTAAAAAAGAAAAAGAAGCCTCTGAATTGATTTGGGAGACTGTCAAGCCATAAAAGTACTCTATCTCCCCAAAGATAAAAACAAAGCAAGTGTCCTGCACTTACAACTTGGAACCTGCAGCACCAGGAAATAGTCCAAGAGACAGGAAATCATAGACCTGGGTGCAGGCACACAGTGATTCAACTATTAACTAGATTAAAGAGAGTAAGGGAGGTTTCTTGCTCAGCTCCACAAACACGTGGAAAAGCAGTCCTCATTCCTGGGGCCACACCAGGTTTCAGGACAACAGTAAAATCACAAAGGTGCAGGCTTTACACATCTTCAGAAAAGACGCTAAAAAAATAAACCATTTTAAAATCTTCACTTATCCCATAAGAAACGAGTGCCAACCATGGGGTACAAGGAGAGTATACTCATTTCCCAGTGGTCACGCATTTATAAAGCAAAAGCCTTTTTACCTGGCCTGACATTCCCAGCTTTCTTCCTTTACTTGGTCCAACATCTCCAAGAAGATTGCTGGCCCTCTCAGAGCCCACACTGAAAAGATTGAAATGCTCTCCCAGACCTCCAAACAGGGCCTGCTGGGGATCCAGGCCCCGGTAAGCCAGTCCGTGCACATTGTCCTTAGGAGTAAAATCCACAGGTGTGACGTCTTTGGGGGCAAAGGTTACATTTTCAGGCAGGTAGTCATCATCTTCATCCTGTTTCCAATGTTTAAAATAGAATTAAGGTGAGTCACTGAGTGGCCCAAAGTAAACCTGTGCAACACTATTTTAAAATGCAGTGATTAAACACAATAGAATAAGCAAACCTTCATTTCCAACACTACAGATGACGGAATCAAGTCCCTGAGTGAACAACGCTGCTGCAACAGCTCCGTTAAAGAATCTGAACAGACTTGGAACGTGTGTGCTGCTGACATACTGCTGAATATCTTTTTTTTTTTTATTTTGTGTGAGTGTACCATCAAATCAGATCTGACTGGTACAGGAAGAGGACATTGCTCCTCCTTCTCCGGCAGAGCATCTGGTGGATTCAAACTGTGTACCTCTGTGATTGCAGTGCAGCTTCTTGCCACTAGGCCACCAGAGCTTCCCTACTGCTGAATATCGTCTATGACTAAAATAGTGAATATTTATTTAATTGTAATAGGATTTGAGCACCTTTTACAAATTTACAACCCAAAAAGCTTCATGATCATAAAGTAATAAATTCTACTTATCAGACTGGAAGTCAGTTCTCTTTATCCTGTACCTCAGATCCTTCAGAGTTCCCGGGGGGTAACGCACAGCCATAGATTTTCACTGCAGGGTCTAGAAAGGACATTGTAAATGTATTAGTCATGAGAGATGGACATACAGGAGCCGGACTCCCTGCATCGACAAGGGGACTGTGTCTGAGTGTGCTGGACAAAGTGATAGAGCGGCAGGGTCAGAGGATGGTGGCCCCGCAGCTGTCGTCTGCCAGCTCTCTCTCCTCCCACACGCTGCAGTAATGTGCTCGGTGAGTAACTACGGCTGCCCCAGCACGGAGGAGAAGACAAAACAAATGCCTGCTGCCCTAACAGAGGTCACAGCCCGAAACACAGAGAACACAAGGGTATGTTTTGTTCTACTACCAACGGCACACAACAACCACCAGAACAGAAATGAAGGGGGGAAAAGTATTTAAAAAGGTGAGAAACAAGAAGTTTCATACCCTTCTGGTGGGACTATAAACAAGTACACAGAGCCTGAAAGGTCATCACATTATTGTTGCTGTCATTAAGTAACATCAGTAGGTTCCAACTCCTAACAGCCACAAGGTCCACACAATGGAGCACTGTCCAGCCCTGGGCCAGACTCACACACTCTAACAGGTGAGACCACTATTGTTGCTGTGCCATCAAGTCACCTGCAACTCACAGCAACCCTATGTACAACAGCTCTGAACTCTGCTCTATCCTGAGCCAACCTGTCTCTGACACACTTGTCCCCATTACCCCAGTCACTGAGTCAGTCCATCTCATCGAGGGGCTTCCCCTCAGCCCTCTATCATTCCATCTCCTTGAAAATCTTACTTTTTTCCTGACACTTTACCAGGCAAAATGTCCTTTTCCAGGGGCCAGCCTCTCCAGACAACATGATCAAAGGACATGAGATAAAGTCTCACCATCCTCATTTCCAAGAAGCATTCCAACTATACTTTTTCCAAAACAAATTTGGTTTTTCACCATTCCACAATATCTTTAATATTCCTTGCCAACACCATATTTCACATGCATAAATTATTTTCCAGATTCCCTTATTAATTGTGTAGCTTTCTCTCACATATGTGAGACTGAAAACATCAAGATGTGGGGCAGGCACGCCTTAGTTTTCACAGTGACATCATTGCTCTCTGGCACTTTAAAGAGGTACTTTGCTCTGAGCAACATATCATGTGATTTCTTGACTGCTGATTCCATGGGCAATGCCCATGGATCCAAGTAAAAGGAAAACCTTGATAACTTTAGTCTTCTGTTGTTCATGTTAGTCCTAAGATTTTCACTGGCCAATTATTTTTTTCAGAAGCGAACTGTCAAGTTTTCTTCTTAGCCTGTCTTCGTCTGTCAGCTCTGCTGAAACCTGTTCACCATGGGTGACTCTGCTGGGATTTGAAATACCAGTGTCATAGCTTTCAGTGTCATAGCAACACACAAGTTACTACAGTACAACAGACAGATGCATGGGGGCCTTTGCATGCAACAGGCACACCACCTGACCTAGCAAGTCTCTCTTCAGAAGTAAGTAGCCACTCAGAAGTAGGGATGATGAACATCAACACACGTACCAGGATTCTGTCGGCGCGGTCTTCTCTTCACTCGTGGGCCAACTCCTTGTCCTTCCTTCCAACCCATTTTTCTTAATAATTCAAAACCAATAGATAATCTGGAAAAGCAAAATATTAAAAGTGAACTTCTTCTGAGACATAAGAGAACAGTGTGAGGTAATCAGGTCTTGAGATCCTGCCTGGCTCATACACCTGTCCTGCGACCTCTCCTTCACTGCGTTAGAACCGCATGAACTTGGCCCCTCCAGCCACCACTGGACAATGTCCTGGGGAAGTTCGTCAGGTGCCCACTCTCCTGAGCATCTGGACAGAGGACAGAAACTCCACATGGTCTCTCCTAAGCATGGGGTTTGGGGTAAGAGCAAGGTCTGTGGTTGTCCCATCACACCCCGTGCCCCGGTCACAGAGGAACGTGAGGGTCACAGAAGAAAAGAAGATAGACTAAGTAAGTCCGACAGGACAGGGCACACAGGCCACAGAGAGAGGCCAGGAAAGCAGCCACCCAACTCCTGACAGCATTCCAATTTCAGTGAGGTCCAGCAGCAAGGCCAGTGGCAGCAGCTCTTCAGTTCCACGCAGTAACAAAACCCTCTGGACAACAAAACCCCCAGTTCACCCAAGTTAGTCTAAGGAAGTCTGTCACTCCTAGTCAAATTGTACTGCAAAGGGGTGATGCCAAGAATGGAAAGGGCAGAACCAATGCATTCTCACTTTGCTGGTGCTATGAGGTCATCAAGCAGAGTGGCTCCAGGAATGGGTGCGGTAGCAGCTGCCAACTGCCTGGCTTTTTCTCGGATTCTGTCTTTGGTTTTGGAAGCAAAATCATCCGTGGTAACAATCGCTTTAGGTGCTATTCCAAATTCACTAAGATCCTTAAGAAAATGCAAACAGGATTACTTACATTTCTTTTGAAACCATGGTTAGGCAAGACAAATCACACGGGCTTCAAAACAAAACACACACTAAAAAGTCTAGCTCGGGGGCGGGGTCGCGCAGCGCGACATCGCGAAGCCGCGCCGGGTCTCAGCAGCTGCCTCGGAGCCGCCGGACTGAGTCAGCGACCAACCGCGCCCGACCGGCCATGGCCGAGAGCGACTGGGACACGGTGACGGTGCTGCGCAAGAAGAGCCCCACGGCGGCCCAGGCCAAGTCCAAGCAGGCCATCTTGGCTGCTCAGAGAAGAGGCGAAGACGTGGAGACATCCAAGAAATGGGCAGCTGGCCAGAACAAGCAGCACTCTGTCACCAAGAACACTGCCAAGCTGGACCGGGAGACAGAGGAGCTGCACCACGACAGGGTGACCCTGGAAGTTGGCAAGGTGATTCAGCAGGGCCGGCAGAGCAAGGGGCTTAAGCAGAAGGACCTGGCCACGAAAATCAATGAGAAACCGCAAGTGATTGCTGACTACGAGAGTGGGCGGGCCATCCCTAACAACCAGGTGCTGGGCAAGATCGAGAGAGCCATTGGTCTCAAACTCCGGGGTAAGGACGTGGGGAAGCCCATTGAGAAGGGGCCAAGGGCGAAATGAACACAAAGCCTCGAAGTCAGTCCCGGCTGATCTCGTCCGGTGGCTTCCCAACCCCAGGACTGGCACCAGCCTTGCTAGGGACCCTCATCTTGTACCTGCTGTCAAACAAACTAATTGTGCAAAGTTTCTGGCTCTCCTGCCTGTTCTTCACCCCTGAGCGGTCGTAGTGTTAGCTCGGTGGGCTGGGGGCTGAGGCGATCCCCTTAGGGAGCAGAGGGGTGCTGCTAGGAGGGGCTGCACAGCTCCTCCTCATGCGCTTCAGTGAAAAGGGGGCAGATCGTAGGGTCACAAAGAACAGGGACAGCAAGGATCTGTATTACAAGCCTTTTGTGTTTACAGGCTGTCTGGCTGCCCCTTCCTGTTCCTCACAGGCGCCTGCCCTCCTCTGTGCTGGCCCATGCTGGACCACTTCAGGGCTAGGGTCAGGCCAGAGGGAGGAAGGGCCCAAGTCTTAACCACGCTGGTCATCATGATCCCACTGCCCTTGCCAGAGACGACATTAGGGACAGGTCTGTGAAGGACTCTCCCAAGCAGATGTCAGGTAAAGGACACTGTTAAGACTTATGACAAAGGCTTCTCTGCATTGAAGATGATGAGGGAGAGAACAGTTTAAAATTAATATATTTTAGGGCACTATGATTATCATAGGAGTCGGAATGAGGGTTGCAGAGTGGAGTATACTTGGGGTGGGGGTGGGGATGTGCGGGGTGAGGGGAGGGATTGTGTACCAATGAAGGAATTTTTCTTTTGCTTTTCAAGGAGAGAAGCCAACTGGGGGTGGAGGGGGGGGGGGGGGGGAAAGTGCAACAATGAATGAATGGAATTCCAAAATCTCTGTAGATGTTCATTGAAATTAATAATAATAATAATAAAAGACTTATGACAAAGGGTTCTTTGCTCTCAAGAAAAACAGCCCATAAAAAGATCCACTGGGTATTATCCCCGATGTGTCACCCTGGACCAGGAGGAGAGCCCCTGTGAGAAGAAGCTGACGTACAGGTGACTGAGAGGAGAGGATTCCTCCTGGCCTGTGAGGGATTAATTTGTGGTAAAGATGATTAAAAAACAAACAAAACAAAAAAACCCAACCAAACTTCCATCAGGATGCCGTGGACTTCAGCAGGAGGAAGAGGAGGCCTCCTTCTGGTTTGACTAGCGTAAGGAGATATGTCTACCAGGAAATGTGTCTCATGTAGCAAGAACTGCACACATCCTATTGCCAAGTGGTCATCAGAGCATGGCACGCTCACCTCCTCATCCATAAAATCCTCAGGACCAAGAACAGATTTGTCTGCTCTGTTCTGCCGCGAAGACACGAAGGTAGATGGTGTCCACCCTTGGGGGGAAAAGACAGTTCAGAACTTAACAATCCCAACCTGTACTTTGTTTTTTATAATGCAGTAATTACACAGCATGGATAGATTTAAAACTCCAAGAACTACAAACTCTACAGCCACCTCTCTCCCATAGCTTTCTCTCTATAGTATTTATCTTTTTTCTTTCTTGTTGTGTACCATTCAATCAGATCCAACTGGCACAGAAGGACATCGCCCCTCCTCCAATGGAGCATCTGGTGGATTAGAAATGCTCACCTTCGGGATGGCAGCACAGCTTCTTGCCACTAGGCCACCAGAGCTCCTACCCTGTATGGCATCTTATTCCTATTAACTGCTAAATCAGAAAGTGCATCTTCCACTCACAACACTCATAAAATGAGAAGCCATTTTACGTCTGTTAAAAACTGCTTTTAGGTTAAACCACTGAGAAGTGCAACATTTTAAACAATATGGAATTTATTATACTGTACAGAGTGGAAAAACTAAATTTACTTTTCTCCAAACTGACAGCATTAGCGGTGACACAACAGAATCCGGAAAGAGCAGTTGGGGTCTACGCTCTGGGCTCTCTCCAACCTCACACTGGCCCCGTAACTGCTCCGATCACCTGCAAACAGCTGTGATGCCTGCTCTCCAGTCACTGAGCCACGTGGGGACCTTCCAGTGATTAACTGGGTGAATCTGTGTGAGAGTACTCTGCACAGCAAGACAGGATAGGAAATGGAAATCACTACTATCACTTAATCATTTGGCAAGAATGTATCTATTTAAAGAAAGCTGAAGAAAATTTTTTAATCTTCTGGTTGAAATCAACAAGCAATAGGCAAGGTGACTCTGGAAACTCTCCAAACACTCAACACAAAAGACTTCAATGTACAGATATTATAATGTACACATACCTCCATATACACAGGCCACCATGCATCTATACTACACTGCACACACACTGAATCATTTTCTTTAGCAATCTAATGGCTGTAAATAAGAAAAGCCTACCTTCCTTTGAGCCAACGGTATTGAAATATCCAGCAGAGAAGCCTCCGCTAAAGGCTCCATGAAACCGTTTATACCTTCCTTTTTCATCCCGGACGGTCTGATCATGAAGAGGAACTGGTTTCTTCGGTCTTTCACCTAAAAAATGCCCCAGTCATTATTAATTAGAAAGAAAGAATGGGAAAATGGGCTCGAATACATTTAGAGGGAAAGAGTGCTTCTTAAATATAATTTTTCACTTTTTATCACTTTAATTATCATTTTAAAGAAGTTACTAACTCTGTATTTTGATAGTGTATATTTACATCTTTTCTCCGTCTTCTGTATGGTTCTGAGACAATTACGCTTGGTTGTTGGTGGTGTGTAGTAGAGGCAGCCGTGGATCATAACGCCCCTGCCTCACACATCCTCACAATCCAGCTACTTCAATAATTAAGTCAGCTCATACTTCCAGAAGACAGAACAAAAAACCAAAAGAACACGCTTCCCAGTCCCAAATTCTAGCCCACAGTGTGTGGAGCATAACCCTCGGCAGGGTGGTCAAGAGGACATGTTCTTTACACCACGAGATAAGAGTTCAAGGCCTATCCATGCCCACCTTACTGACGGCCAGCTCTGTGATCTTGTGCAAGCTGTTTAATCTCCCTGAGCTTCAGTCTCCACAACTGTACAATTAAGAGCTGCACCGTGGTCCACTTTGAACAGCGGTGATGAGGATTAAACACCTGGTCCAGAGAGCTGACCACGGCATAGCCCCATAAATACTGCCTAACTTTGACTTCATCCTCAAGAGGTGAATTACAACTTTGGTCCCAAACCCAAGATTTTTTCACCATGTGTTAGAAATGCAGTGCACAGCTACCTCAACTTAAAAGACCTCAAGAAAGGATGAGAAAGGGGAAAGCAAAACATGCAGGTAATTGCTAAATATGTAGGCTCAGACCCAACTATATCAGTGGTCACCTTATCGTAATACTTGGATTAAATTCTTTCATTAAAGATTAAAATTGTCAGATTGTATTTTTTTAAAATGTATTCTACTTGGAAGATTTAAAATGTATTCTACTTAAACACCAAATGGGCAGTAGACAAACCATGAAATACAAACTCAGACAATGACTAATCTCAGACTGCATAGTCTTCCAAGCTAGAACATTATTAGTGATAACGAGGAAGTCTCAGAGTGCTAAAAGAATCAGTTGGTTAGGAAGGGATATCAACCTTAAAATTGTGTGCATCTACTAACCAAAACAAATAAATCAAATATTGACAGAACTGAAAGAAAAGACAAGACACACAGGACAACACTCCATTACAGTATGTGCAGCTGGCCAATTCTCAGCTTAGGCCAAGTTTCTCAGCCTCAGCACTACTGACAGAATAACCCATCGTTTTGTGGAGCTTTGAAAGGTAATTACCAGGATCCTTGGTCTCTACCCACTTGATGCCAGTAGTACCCCACCCCCAAGTGGTGACAACAAAAACTTGTTTAATAAAAATTGTCCCTCTAGGGAACACACTGGCCTGGGTGGAGAACCACTGGCGTCAGCTAAGACAGGGTGGGTCCTGCCAGTGTGAGGTGCTGCCCTCATTCTGGTCTCCAGGAACCTCTGATGAGAAAGGGGAGATAAGATGATCTGTAGACAACTAAGGGGAACCTGTGGCGGCAGGTGAGGAGGCCAAGCAGGGCAGCTAACGAGATCCCACAGGGCTCCTGAGGTCAAGGCGCCGCCTCTGCCCACAGGACAGGTGATACTCCAAGGACAAGGTGGCATTTTAGTCAGGCCCTGTTATAATTACTGCTACTTGCTGTGCTGACTCCTCCCTGCCTTTCATATAAGCTATCTCACTGACCTCTGCAGATAATGACACCTTGATTAGCAGCTGGCCTCAAGGCCGAGGCTTTTACACCAAGCTGGAACCAGATCTCAGTTGTGTCTGCCTCTAAACTAAGATGCCACCCATACTTGACTCATCCCCCAAATACAAGTTTATTGAGGGTCTTGTCAGGGAAGCAGCCCTGTCCTAGACTCTGTTGCTGTTGTTGTTGTTACGTGTCATCAACTCACCTATGACTCATAGCTACCCTATGAACCCTGCCCTGTCCTGAGCCTGTCTCTCTGTCTCCAACACATCTACCCCCATTACCCCAGGAACTGTATCAATCCATTTCATCCTGGATTTTCCCCTCCTGCACTGTCCCTCCACCCCTCCAAGAATGATGTACTTCTCCAAGCACTGGTCCCTCCTGGCCACATGCCCAAAGCATGTGAGACAGAGCTTCAAAATCCTAGCCTCTGAGGAGTAGCCTGGTTTCACCCTCTCCAAGATAGACTTGTTTGTTCTCTTGGTGGTCCATGATATGTTCAAAACTCTTCCTCAGCACCACAACTCAAAGGCATCGATTCTTCTTCAGTCATCTTTAGCCATTGTTTCAGCTCTCTGATGCATAGGCAAGTAATTGCAAAGACCATGGCCTGAATCGGGTGTACTTTCACGTCTAGACTGACATTGTTGCTTCTCAGACCTCTGGAGAGGTCCATAACAGCAGATTTTCCCAATGCAATTCGTCTTTTGATTTCCTGACTGCTGGTGCCAAGAGTGTTGATTGTGGAGCTGAGCAAGCTGTAACTGTTAACAATCTCAATCTCCATCTTTCATGGTGCTGCCAACTGGCCCAGTGGTGAGAATCTTTTTCTTCTTGATGTTGTGTTTCAATCCACATTGAAGACTCCAGTCCTTGACTTTCTGCAGCAAGTGCTGCAGGTCCTCCTCAGTTTCAGCAAGCAAAGTTATAAGGCTCTGGGTACTGAAAACTAAAACAAAGCATCATTTCAGCTCCATTCGCTGACTGCTCAGAGGCCAGCATGTACAAAACTCCTGACAGTGTGCAAGGACCACAACATCCCAGCCAGGGGGTAAAGATAAACCATAAGCAGAATTTTGTTAGTTGCAGATTGAGATGTAATCCACGAGTAACCATGAGTAAACAGAAGGAGGAATCGAAGGTGGGCCCCTGTGAGTGGAGGAGAGAGAGGAGTGGGAGACCGAGGCAGGAGCACAGAGGCCTTGGGCATGGCGCTGCAGGGCCATCCTGTAGGTGATAAACGTCATGTGTGTTCTCTAAGACATAGAAACCACCAGCAGTGTTGAGAGTCAGAGCAGCAAGAAAGAAATTGGTCCTAAGTTCATCTGGGCACAAAATAAGCTGGAAACAGGAAGCCTTCCAGAGACAAGTCAAAGTGGAACCCCCAAAGAAAGTGGGGGAAGTGTTGGGTCAGAGAACCTCTGTCTAAAAAGAGTGCCAGCCTTTAGGTTTATCTCCCCTCCTCTCTCTCTCATCCTTTCTTTGACTATTTTTATTACTGATTTTAATTCTCATGTTTCAAAATTGTGATAACATATGCACAAAAAACCATCTTTGCCAACCGAACAATATCTAACTGTGTCATGTGGTGATAGTTATTACTCATCACCACTGTCCTTTTCCAAGTTACTCCACCATCAATAAAAACTCGAAGCAAAAATGCAACACCCAAACCCTGGAGCTGAGTCCACCTCACAGTGAACCTGTGAGCCATGGTAGCTCAGTGACTAAAGCACTTGGCGCTGACTGAAAGGTGGAAAGAGCCAGCAACTATTTCACAGGAGAAAGATGTGCCAGCCTGCTTACCTAGAGATTAAAACCAGAAATCAAGGGGAGCTCTGGTGGCCTAGTGGCAAGGAGCTGCAACTACAATCCCAGAGGCACACGGTTCGAATCCACCAGATGCTCTGCCGGGAAAAGGAGGGACAATCTCCTCCTGTACCAGTCAGATCTGATTTGACGGTACACTCACACAAAAATAAAAATAAATAAATAAATAA